GAGTGAGAAATAGAAATAGAGAGTGAGAAAGCAAGCGACTGAAAGAGAAATAGAAATATAAGCAGAGATAGGAATTGAAACGGAGAGAGAGAGATAGAGAAATAGTATGCAGACAGAGGGTGAGATATGGAATGGAAGGTATAGAGAGATAGATACAGAGAGAGAGAGAGAGGTAGAGAGAGAGAGAGAGCGAAAGAGAGAGATAGAGAGAGAGAGAGAGAACAAAAGGAAGTGTGCAGGATATCATGGGAGGAGATATACACATGCAAAGCAAAAATAATACAGAATAATATTAAGTTGATATGTATGTATATGTCTTAAGAGATTTGTATGTATATGTGTATAAATAAATGTAGATTTAAATCAGCAAAAACTGTGTAAATTTTGAAAAGCAATAAATAATTTTCGCCAATAAATATACAAACTGTGTTCTTATTTAAAAGGGTTTATTTACTGGGAATCAATATTCAAATATCAACGGTTAAATATGTGCTCCATATCAAATATAATTGCATAACATAAGGAGGCTGTTATAGTGGCCGTTGGGGTCAAAATTTGAACGCAAATTTGAAAAGTACCAGGCAAACAAAAATGAATAGCAGATGAAATAGGTAAAATGTTATTTAACAGATCTATGATATTACACTTTTAAATAACAGCATGGTAACAGTACACTGTTCATATACTGTTAACGAACATTTTGCACCCTACTTCTCATTTCTGTGCGCCTGGTATGTCACCAAAATGACTGTAGAAATTCTGGAAGTACCAGGGGAACAGGAATGAGTAAGACGGTGAAAACTGCTAAAAAAAAACAGTGCATTAACAGAATCATGTTAGGAAGCTGTTACATAGCAGTCCATTTACAGTGCTATGTTAATGCAATGCTAACGAACATTTTTCACCCTGCTTATCGTTTCTGTTAGCCTGGTACTTCACCAAAATAGCTGTAGAGTTTCTGGAAGTACCAGGCGAACAGGAATGTGTAGTACGGTGAAAACTGCTAAAAAACAGTGCATTAACAGAATCATGTTAGGAAGCTGTTACATAGCAGTCCATTTACAGTGCTATGTTAATGCAATGCTAACGAACATTTTGCACCCTACTTATCGTTTCTGTTAGCCTGGTACTTCACCAAAATAGCTGTAGAGCTTCTGGAAGTACCAGGCGAACAGGAATGAGTAGGACGGTGAAAAATGTTAGTTAACAGTGTAATAGTGTAACACTGTTGTTTAACATTATCAACACTGTTAAACAACAGTGCGTTACAGTGCACTGTTAGCTTATATTTAATTTTAAGATCTCCCTACTTCTCATTTCTGTTCGCCTGTTACTTTACCAAAATTTTCGTTAAAATTTTGCTCTCAGCGGCTGCAACAGCCGATCGCCGCAGAGATAAAACATATGGCGGATATATCTTCCCCCACAGGGGGCGTGGCAAACCACTAAACTGTATATCTCTTGCAGTTTAAGAGAGAAAATTGACTGTGAGTGAGTATTCCGTAGTCGGTAACGCTCGACTTCAACGATCTTTCTTACTCTGTGTCTTTTTTGCGCAATCTCCTAAACTCTCTGCCAGCTTTTGGCCAACTCTTGTCTGACTGAGTGCCCAAATAACTAACTAACCAACTGACTATTCGACTGACTGGCTGTTTGACTGCCGCACTGACTGACTGACTGACACCTGAGCGAACTGTTCGAGTTGCCAGCCTGTCAGGACAGCTCCCATTTGTATTGTTGTGGGGCGGCGGTTTTCATGTTCGGCTCCAGCTTGAATAGCATTTACAACTTAAGTCAATCCACATGCAACTAAAAATCTGTTCGAACAATATGTATGTACACATGTATATATGACACCAAGACTGATAGTCAGTTAAGTAGATATGTGTATTCATTATTTTCGTCTGGCATTTGCAATAAGTAAGTCGAAACGGTTTGTGTCTTAGGCCAGTCAATGCTAGAGCTGTTGACCGATGTTGCTTGATTGTTACATACCCTTCAGAGGGACTGAAATTTTTTGAGAGTGACTATATTAAATTAGGTGAGGCAATGCATAGATTTTGCATTTTGCATTAATTTTCATGTTTTGTATAGAAAATGTGGCTCGACGATAAGCAGATGGATATACCTCTCAGCACCTTTCGTGTAGACAATGCAAATCCAATTAATATAGAACTCACACTAGAGCGTCGCATCTGTTAGATGACGCGCTGGCGATTTCAATTAGACCTGTAACCGAATATTTGTATTCGTTCCATCATATAATTTGGCTTGCAAAGCGTGTTGATTACGTCTTCTATCATTTCCATATCTCTCCAAGACCCTGAGATTGAATCATCACAGCCGATACTCTTACTCTTATCAACTTATGCTATAACACCGGACGTTCCGCTCTTCCTTGCATTACCATCTAAAAGTGTTTGCATAAGACGCAAGCGAACCTATCTATCTAGCTGTCCAGCGTTGTCTGTCTATAAAAGTGAACAACATTCAAATTATTCAAAAAATTGTTTCCATGGCCAATATATAAAATTCATTTAAATCAATTATTATATACTTTAAGCTGATTCCGACTGCTCTAAGCTGAGCTCCAGCTAACATACTCAACCTAAATCTCCACTCTAATTGCATAATAATCTATATACATATAGATTGAAATTAAATTCCAATTAGCAGTTTTTATAGATATTTATAAACAGGATGGCTTCCACATGTTTCGATTAAATCGTTATCTTCGAGCTGATTTCCGTATTTTGTCGGTGTGTATTATTTGTTGTCAGAATTCCTAGATAATTCTCGACCTTCGAGGCAATTAGTTCGAGCGAAATGACAAACAAAGTGTAAAACGTTGACTAATTCACATACGAGTTAAATACAAAATGCTCGCCGAGGTGACGTCGAACCAATGTACTGAGCGGTAATTGCTCCACTTGGCTTTAATTAAAAGCCAACTTAGGTTAAGGAAAACAAAAAAAGCAAGTAAGCACTCAGACAAGCAGCAGCAACTGGTTGGTGTAACACACAGATTAACCGATCTATATAGATATATCAGTGTGGTCATTGTTATGCAAGCCAGGTGAGCGCGCTAACCAGAATTGTCGCAAGACTGTCGCCTGGAAGCCGAGTTGAGATTGTTTGTGTGGGTTGGCCATAAGGCGTACATTACCCCCAATAGAGCCCGGATATATTGGAGCCAAAGGAATTCCATTGGAGCAGACCTGAACAGTAATTGTCGTGAGTGTCTGGCTCCAAAATAGAAATCGACAACAAAGAAAATCTATTAAAAAGCACTTTTGGCATGGCTCAAGAATATTATTTGTAAACAAAATGTGATAGAGACAGATAGGGCGAGAGAGACAGAGTAAGAGAGAGAGAAACTGGAATTATATGTCGCCCGCTTGCAATGGTTATTCATTAATCACAAAATAGCTGACAAATGGTCATAACGGCGACAGCTCACAGTTGCTAGAATGGTGTTGTATGGGGCAAACAGTTCGCAATGATTATTACAAAAGCGGAACTCGCCAGACTGAGAGAGAGAGCGAGAGAGAGAGATAAGGAGAGAGAGAGATAAACACCAAAACTTATAGAGAGTGAGAGCAGCGCAAAAGATCTGTTCAGCCCATTGTCTATGTGGGCAGACTCTGTCTTGGCGTTTGTCTTAGCTGTGCAGATTAACATAACAGGAAATTACAATAATGCTCACTTTTAATGCGAAATGTACTTGGCTTTATTGTTTTTTAAATACCCTAGAGACATTTTGAATGGCTGCTTACACGCAATTCATGCGATAAAGTGTGTTAGTTGAGCGAGGTATAGAAAATGCATTGCTCCGGGCATTTAGAGCTGGGTGTTCTCAGAACTGTTCCATGTGAACTGAGCTGTCATGCACCGTTTCACTATTCAATGTTATACAGCTGCTTGAGACCCTATTAATATATGTTTTACAATGCAGCATGTTACTAAAATTGTAATAGATCCTTAGAAAATCTTTGCAAAAATCTAGCATTGTGATTTTCCCCTAGTCTTGTTTGGTTTTCTAGCAAATTCGGTACAGCTACACATTATAGAACTTTACACATTATAGAACTTTAAAGTCTAGCTGCTAAGAGGCCCTCAAATATCGATCTTCTTGTTTTTCAATCATTTCTACGTGATTCGCAAGCCAAACGCCAAACAGATTCTATGTCAATTACCTTTCTTCATGGTTTATGGCCTTCAAATGACGATCCTCTGTTTCATCTCTGGAATCAGCAACGAACAAATCGCACAGACAACAAGTCATAAAAACCACTTTGGCAATTTGGCACTGACCATCGCCACGCACTGAACTTGAGCCACTGTAACTGTTGCGTGTTGCGTGGCAGTGACAATTGCGTAGTGGTTGGCTGGTGGTGCGTGCCGCCAGACAAACAAGCAGACAAACATGAACCACGAACAGTTTTCACGGTCAACTTGGCTAGAGGAAAAACTGACTGAAAAGCAAAGACATAAATGTTGTTGTTGCTGCTGCAGCTGTTGTTGTTGTTGTGGTTGCTGTTGTTGTTGTTGGGTGTGTTGCAAGTGGCAGACGCTGGATAAGTGGCCAACCCACTGGCCAAGTGCCCAACTGGCCAACTGCTGCGACAGCTGACGTCGGCCAGCGATTCGCTTTTGACTGGTTTTCGTTGTAGTTTTATTTTTTAATGGGCTGAACGGAAAAACTGTAAACGAAAGCAATGTGGTTGCTGTGGTTGTTGTTGTTGCTGTTGCTGTTGTGTTTATTGTTGCTGTTTGTCTGGCTGTTGAATCAGCTGCAGCAGCCCGTCAACCCGCCTGCACCACTCGGACATTCGGGTGGGTCGCCGTCGGCAGGCTTTTCTTAACGATGCAAAAAAAATTATTATTATTGTATTTTCTGCACTTTTGGAGTTTTGAATTTGGATCTAGCATAGCCAAGTGTGTGAGTGTGTGTGCGTGTGTGTGTGTGTGTGTGTCAGCTTTTGTGTATAAAAGCTGTCGCGAATTTACAGCTAACAACAGTAACCAGCGACGAGTCAACACAGACCCACAGTTCATTTCTAAAGCCAAGTAACTAACTTCCAGGATTAGCTAAAATGTACAAGTTGGTAAGTGTCTAAGCCACGTCGAGGAGTGCTGCAGTCGCGTAACTCCCAAAACTGCTTGCTTTCAGGTGGTGTTGTCTGCTCTGCTCGCTGTGGCCGCTGCCCGTCCCGGCTACTTGGCGGCAGGTCCTCTGCTGCATAGCTATGCCGCGCCGGCGATCATCCATGAGCCCGCCCTGGCCAGCGTTGGCCACATTGTGAAGTCCATTCCGACCGCTGTCTCGCATCAGAGCATCAGCCAGGTGCACAGCTCGGCGCAGATTGTCCAGCCGATTGTGACGCCCGTTGTGAAGACCTATGCCGCACCCATCATCAAGACCTATGCCGCTCCAGCTCTGCACACCAGCATCCTGTCGCCTTCCTGGGCCTCTCACGGCTGGGCGTCGTCTTGGTAGACGGCTTCCACATCGGCTCTGATCGGGGTGTGCTTCAGCAGATGAGCCATCTCTTGGCTGAAGCCACGCAACAATTTCTATCGTATCTTCTACTTAGTGTTTCCCCATCCCCCCTTCCGACTGATGTAAATAAAACTTCATATTTTCATTATCAAATATTCTGTGTTGTTTATGTGAGCCTTGTGGGGGATTTTAACTTTTAATATATAACATATAAATATTACTTTTGGTTCAGTCTTGTGGGGGATTTTAACTTCTAATATATAACATTTAAATTTTACTTTTGGTTCAGTTTTTAGCTCTGAAGTAGGACTTGTTGTGGAATATAGTTCCAGTTCAATAAGTCTGATATAAATTTTCAATTTTTATTTAAAATATGTAGCTGAATTCTTCATACAGGAGCTTTTCATGAATCCGTTTGAAGTTGTGTGACTCCATGAATTTCTTATATAAAACTATATCTTTGGAACAGTATCATACAACTTTTAGATAAGTTTCGATTTCTAGTTTAATTTTGGCGCTATGACTTTTTGAATAATATACTACAAGATAATATAAGTATTTCAAAAGTAATCGCTTTACTTTTAAGTATGTGCACATTGTAGGACAGACTAGCGATCGTCATAGAGAGAGGTATAACTAGTTAACATAGTTATAGCTAAGCATAAACTATTTAACTACCGTGCGAATTGTGATATAAATTTTTAAAGAGTCTACTTAATTTACTTATTTCAACTGAAATAATTAAGTACGGTACACAAAACATGGAAAACATGGCAAAGAGTATACTACTAAGAGATACCCTATGAATAGATGTAAAGCTTTAGCGTTCGACACTCTCAAGCACTTATAATGAGTTTTTTTGGGAGAGAATCTATAGATGATGATTTTCAATTATTTCTTCAAAAATACAAATGCTTGCTAAACGATACTCTTTAATCAGATATCAGATAGATCAGATAGACCTGGGATATAAAGCATTGGAGTAAGAAATCTGAAATCTTTTATTTCCAGACACTAAAGTTTGCATTATCGCTGCAAATGAAGTGTAGAGTTATAAATAGTAAATAGGAATTAAACTTACATTCTTATAGTATATATAATTGCATCTATATCTTAGTAAGGTTGATGGATTATTTAAGCTACCCTCGCACACTCGAGCTTAGTATTCTACTGTAAACTACGTAGTTTTCAAACTAGAGGCCAAATAAGAATTGTTTAATCTCCGAAACTTAGATTACCATCATCACTAAACTATTCCACACTAGCAACTGCTATTCTCAGACTTCACTTTTTAACGCTTGCACCTTAATAAACCACATTAATGATGACAAGAGAAAAATAATCATAGTATACCCTTTACAAGTTGAGAGTTTATAGCTAGGTAAAGCTGTCACTGAACGTCTCGCTGTGCACGTAGCTGAAAGCCAAATGGAAACTGTAATTGAAATTGAAATTGAAGTTGAAGTCCAAACCTTGCGCCGCTGACCCTGAAAGAACCGAGACGCACTTAAAGTGCAAGTAATGCAACTGAGGGCAGGAGCTAATGAAGGGCCAGTGGAGCAGTTGGCCAATGGTCGGCACGTAAACTGGTTGGCTAGCTTTGCCAATTGTTGTGCTTGGCTCTGTGGCTGAGCAGAGCTGAGCCGTCCACCGACGCTAATTGCTTATTGAATGTCAGTGAGAATTGAATCTGATATGGTCTCTTTTTTTAATGTTTTTCTTTTCGTTGTTGTGCGTGTGTATGAAGGCCGTGCGTGGAGTACCGACTGCTGCTGCTATATAAACACCGCCTGCAGTTGGCATATCATACACAGTTCTCGCTAGAAACTCAAGCCCAACAGTCAATACAGACCTCACTTAAACCCAAAAATCATTTCAATCATGTTCAAGTTGGTGGTATTGTCTGCTCTGCTCGCCGTAGCTGCTGCTCGTCCCGGTAATCTGTATGAGTCGCCGTTGGTCTACGCCGCACCCGCTGCGACCGTCGTCCAGGAGTCGGTCCTGGCCAAGGTTGGCTCCGTTGTGAAGAGTGTGCCCACATCTGTCTCCCATCAGAGCCAGTCGGTGGTGCACAGCTCCGCTCATGTGGTTGAGGATATCGTCGCTCCAGTTGTCAAGTCAACGCCCGTGGTCAGCTATGCCGCCGCTGCTCCAGTGGTGCACACCTCCTATGCTGCTGCTCCAGTGGTGCACACCACATATGCCGCTGCTGCTCCAGTGGTGCACCAAACGTATGTCGCTGCACCAGTTGCCAAAATCGCTGCTGCCTCACCGCTGACCTACACCGCCACCGGAGTGTGGTAAGGAAGCCCCACTGCACCACTCAAAGACCGATAGTGGAACGTGCATCTTGTTGGACGGTTTTGTGATACGAATTTGAATAAATAAATACATATTTTTGCCTTGAATATCGATTGAGTCTCATTTACTATGCAATCTCCTTCATCTGTGTCCTTGCTGCAGTTCATTGGCCTCTGTTTGGGTCTTTATCCTGTGGTTCACTTCCTCTGAACTAGCAGTGCCTGGCTGCGAGTAAACAGTCGTATACGTAATGCGAGTTGTAAACAAGTGTCGGTAAATAGTTGTTGATTACCCAACTACGATATACTTGTACTAAACTCTCCTCAAATGCTGCGTAGCTATTTAGGATTGATAGATGGTTAAAGGAACTAAATGTATATATTTAATATTCAATATTCTTATTTTAATGTATACTAAATATATTATCTCCATGTAATTTAATTGTTAATCTATTAGATATCTATATTATATTTTTTATATATCAATAAAAATCTTCTAGAACAGTTTCCAGCAAATCAGAAATCTTCCTCTACAATTTTAATTTACAGTTGCCAAATTCTGCTCAACTTTGTTGTGATTGGCTCATTAGTATTAGTGAGAGGCGAGAGTCGTTGAAAAAATATTATCTGTTTGAGTTTGCGTCCTAGAGACAGAAGGACAGAGGGAGGCAAACATATATGTTGCCGAACGTAGCTTCTGGTGTTGCTGAGAGAGAGCGAGATAGCTATTTACACATGACGAAGAGGCTCCTTATGATTTAATTGGACAAAGAGAACGCAACTAGAAATGACGAATGCTAACAAAACAAATTAGGAATTATACATATACAAAAATTGATACTGAAGATCTATTTCTTAAATCTTATTCAGCAGAACACATTCCACAGAACATCCCCAGCTTTGAAAATTATTACAATTGGTTAATCAGCTAAAACTAATTTCTACTTTTCATATACATGGCTTTAGCTACAATATACTAGATTTTGTATATACAAGTTAACTCCAACGCCAACCTCAGCCAACTCATCAAAATTCCTGGAACGCAGTTATGGTTGCCATTTCACATTCACTGGATGAGCTAGACTTGCAAATAAATTACTACATTACCCTGCTCTATATATGTAGTTTTTCATGTGCTACCGGGTATATAAATTGTGGTGGTTGTGTCCTGTCCCAGCGCAGGTTCAAGGCCAACGACGCCACGCGCTGGCCAATGAACCTTTAATGCGAGCAGAAATAGTAAAACGGAAAGTGCATCGCAAGCTGCACCTAACTGGCTGCAAAGCCTGCAGTTGACATCCTAAGTGACAGCTTTCAACAGCAGCAACTACACTGCACAAAATAGACGTTGTTGTGAATAATATACAATAGAGGATTGTTAATAGGGTGGGAAGAATTAGTTAAGCAGCTTTAAAAACAACTATTAAATAATTACCAAACATTAAATTTGCTTTAAGTAAATCAGTTTGCAAGTAAATCAACTTCTGGGCAAAAGTAGCTGAGGGGTAAATTGTTCTCTAGTTATGCAGTAGCATATGTATTTAATATATGTGTATAAATTATTGTTACAGCAAATGCAAATCTGTCAAATTATTTTTTTTTAGGAGCGCCAAGATCTACTGCGCCCAAGGTCATGAATTTAACGGGCTCATTGATATACTGTGAGTTCTTCTCCATGAAGGTCTTCGCCCCACTGGGTATAATGCCGCTCAGCGCCTCCCACACGCCGCGCCTAAATATCGGGTGCTCCCTTGTGGAGGAGGAGTCGTCCACAATTTCGCCCAGGCTAGCTGCATTGCTCGGTGGCAACATCAGCGCAAGGCTCACGAGCTATATTTAGAGGGAATATCCTTTTGATTGCACTTCAAGGCTACTTTCAATGTATCGCTCACCAGGCTGCCCAAGAGAATCTTCATGTCTGTGATCTATTTGAAATCCAACTGCAGACGAACGAAAGCTTTTCACTCGCCTTTTATAGCACTCAAGCTACGCACCCCGGCCACGAGGCTGCACAGCTGAGTTAGCTAGAAATTTACTGTTGCATTTGCATTGGCAATACTGCGGAAAAGTGTCGCAGCTCCATTTACAAAGTCAACAAATGTCAATGCTCGCAAAGCTGATCGACATCGACAGCAATGAAAACAAAATTCGTCGTTCCGGGGCCAAATAGTTTGACTAATGAGCCACGCTTTGTAAATGAAAATAAGAGTGGGTTGGGTCGCTCGGCTCGGAGACTGAGCTGACAAAAATAACTGAGTGCCTGAGTGCGGTGCGTAGCTGGAATTGGCCGCGAATTATAATCTGGTTTATGCGCGACAAGAATCCGTTCAGGCACGTACGTATTGCTACATATTGTGTACTCACTGTATATATGTGTGTGTGTGTGCGTGTGTTTGCGTGTGTTTGCGTGCGCCTTGAAAGTGAAGTTCAAGTATAAAAGCCAGCGACAATTCGTCAACGGGCACAGTCCAACCTACGACACAAGTCAAAGAACCAGACAACCACAGCCAGCCAAAATGTTCAAATTGGTAAGCACAGCGCCGGGTGGCTCATGGTGGCTCAGTGGTGTAGTACTCAATTATCTTGCTTCGTTTTCAACAGTTCGTTCTCGCCGCTCTGCTCGCCGTCGCTGCCGCTCGCCCCGGTCATTTGGCCGCCGCACCACTGGTCTACAGCGCACCCACTGCCATCGTCCAGGAGCCCGCCCTGGCCAAGATCGGCGCCGTGGTGAAGAGCGTGCCCACCGCCGTCTCCCACCAGAGTGTGACCCAGGTGCACAGCACTCCAGTCGTTGAGGATGTGGTGGCGCCCGTTGTGAAGACCACCCTGCATGCCGCCCCCGTGACCACCTATGCTGCCAGCTATCCAGCAGTTGCTCCCGTGTCCACCTACTCGGCCCTGCCCACCACATATGCCGCTGCCCATGTGCCGTACCTGAAGAGCGTGGCGCCACTGGCCTACTCTGCACCACTGGCCTATTCGGCACCACTGCTGCACCACGCACCCCTGACCTACGCCAGCGCCTGGTAAGAGCGAGAGAACGAAAGATTTTGAAAGAAGTTGTTGACTTGTGTTCCACCGAAAGAAAAAATTAAATATAAAACTCAAATCCGAATCCAAGCCAACTTATTTATTACAGGGTATACGCGGTGTACAGGGTGTACCCTCTACTTGAGATAGATGCTGGGGTAGCTGAGCGCACCAGCGTTCCAGCCGGGACTGTACCACTCGCTGCTGTAGCCCAACGGGCTGCCCGCATAGGTTGTATAGGTGGTTGGGTGGTGCTCGTAGATGGGTCGCAGGTACGGGCGCTTCTCGTGCACCACCGTCGAGCTCTGATGCGAGATGGCGGCAGGCAACGCGTAGTGCTCATAGCCCAGCACAGTGGGCGCATACTCGATTGCCTCGTAGCTGGGCAAATAGCTGGGCCGAGCCTGGCCGAGAGCCACACAGAGCGCGCACCACACGAACAGCTGCAAGAGAATCCACTCATTAGTTATCCAAGCGAGACAGGGTATCCAACAGTCTTACAGTTTTGAACATCTTCACTTTGATTATTATTTTCTTGGTCTGTGATCACTGAGAGGCGCAACTTGTTGAACTGTGGCTCCAGCTGAAGATGCGCCACAATTTTATAGCCGAAAAACGTCGGTGGTTTCTTTACGTTAGAATTGGCACAGACAATCGAGCCATCAGCAAGATTTTCCCAAGCCCGACGGCTCATTAGTGACCCATTTGGGCGTAACTGAGCGACTAAGTGGTTCACTCAAGGCAGCCCTTGACGAATTCGCCTCCGATTCGCTATGCGATTGTTGCATTTACTTTTTGCTCAGCTCCTGCCTCCAGTCGCCAGTTGAGCCACCCACCCACGCCCAGAGCTAAGCTATGTCCCAATTCCAGGCATAATTCAATTGCTGCAGCAGCAGCATTGTCTGCGCTCTGTGCCTGGCTACTGGCTTGCACCACAATTGCCCTGGCCAGAGTGCCATACAAGGAGCCACTGCACCACGCTCCACTTACCAGTGCCGCGTTCCACAATGAAGTCAGCATAACGCGCATTAGCATATAATGCCAACTCTTTGTGCTGTCGTATTTCCCTCTTCTAATATTCCATGGCACAATAACTTTTCCTGGCTGCCACCACTCGCACCGCCAACACGAATTATGACCAACCAGCCGCTGTGCCTTACTTCTGCCTAGAGATGACAGCTGAGCAGCTGGTTCGAGGCGTGATCTAATGGGTTTAGTTTACTGTTCAATAAATGGGCTTGAAATTTGGCTTATGGATAGATCATTTTAGAGCAGATCGGACTCGGCTTTAATACTAAGTAAAACTTATATTTTATATATATGTATAGATATAGAATTGATATATAATCTTTTAAAATCATATATATAATATAATACATATAGTCTTTTAAAATCGTATATATGATATATAATCTTTCTAAATCGCAGCCTTAGCTCAAGAACAGGTTTGTATCTCATTTGGAAATAATATCTAAGCATTTTATTATAAAATATATTTTAATTATTATTTGATCAGAAAATTCCATGTTTATATTTGGCATACATTTTGTTGAGACCTGAATGGGGATTATTATTTATTTAAATCTTATTTCCAATCTTGTGTTATAATACCATTTTCATAATAATAATAATAATGTCAGTGGGTCATTCATTTCTTTATTCCCTCGTATTCAAATTATGCATGAGCTTTAGTTGTCTTTATTTAGACACCTCGTGACACGCTTGAAAGCACGTGTCACGCACTCAGCTCCATATCATAGCCACATATGTCGCCTGTTTTAGCCGGTTTTTGCTTTGTCTTTTGCGTCAGCTGGGCAGCTGAGTTCCCAGCCCATTCGGCGCGACCTTTGGGTCTAATTCAATTAGATACACGCAAATGCCGAGACGCAGACGGCCATCGCCAAAAAGAAGAAAAAACCCGCTGACGGCCAATTAAATTTATAATTAGTGCAGCAGTTGTGGCCAGCTCCATTTGGATTACACTCGCACTTGGAGCACTTTGGCCCACTTGGCCAGACAATGGCCAGCAGAGATGGTGGGTGCACCGGCACTTGTTAGGGTGTCATTTAATTGGACTCGGCCATTGAATACGATACGAAACGAGTCTGCTTGACCCACTTGCAGTTTACTTAAGACGATTTTGTGGCTTTTGCATTATGATTTTTCATTTAATGGCAGCCACAAATGGAGCCTACCTTTAGGCATTTTCCATAAAGCTTGCTCGCTTGAGAGCTTTTGCAAGCCAAGCTTCAGCTTTGCCTACAAGCTTAACCCTTGTGCTGCTGCTGGGCTAAAAAGCGCCCGCTACAGTTAGCTAATTAAATTGCATTTGCCCAAAGAAGTAATTAGCTATTTTTAGACTTTGGCTAAATAGCTGAGTAATTAGCACCAATATGGCTATAACTGTTTAAGCTATGAAACGTCAAAGGAAATAGTTGAACTGATATGCGAAGCATTTTGTCTTGATTCGAACTCTTTCGCCTTGTAGCTTAGTTTTATGAAAGAATTTTTAAATTATGGTATTTAGATTGATTTTAATTTAGAATATTATTATAATTTATATAATCTATATAGTCTGTAGCCAGTTCAATGAAAGGTTCGATAAACCATTTCGTTCAATGGAATTGCAAATAATTCTCAGCTACAAACTTAAATTGAATTGAGGTCGTAAAAAATTTTACCTTTAAAAGCCTTAACAATTTCGATTTCCGTTGATATTTTACAATTATTATTATGGGTCCAATTAAAACTTAACTTTAAGATATTCGAACATCTAACTAAGATATTCCAGTTCAACATGATTGACGAGAAATTTAGCTCAATTTCGAATAAACAATTTCAAATTCTTTATAGGGCACAGCTGCTCTATAAATAGCTAAGCTCTAAATTATTGGCGTGCTCAATGCAAACTTTGTCTCTGGCGACAGAGTCGAGACTCTGTTGACAAGTTGTGGGCAATGCGTAGCGCATTGATGGATAGACAGGCAGGCAGGTGAGGTGCGCGTCTACTAAATAGTTTAATTAATAGAAATTGGCAACGAGCAACAAGCAGCCGCCCGCTGGGAGTTACAAGCAGCAGCTAGTGGCGGATGGTGGGGCAGCTTTAGCCAGTGCAACAAGCGGCTTAATTAGCTTTGGTAATAGCCATGTTTTTGGGTTGCGAGCAATGCGATATGTTGGCTGTCGTGCTAAGCCAATGTTGGCCGCAAAATGCGATTATATTTAGCGGACATGTCTGTCCATTAGCCGGTCTTAGCCATACACACACACACACACATTTATACACACAGCACTCATACGCCGCGTAATAATAAGCACCTGCAATGCTAAATGTAAATGGGTTTCAGTTGGTTTTTTAGTCAGTTCTGGAGCTGTTCGCTCCAATGGGCGTCACATCGATTGTCTGATTAATTTTAATGGCCGAATTACACAAAATGCTGGGAACTGGATACTGCCTGTCGCTGGACAAACATAAATGTAAACATGAAAAAACTTTGTTGGCCATGTTTTTGTCTCAGCCACTTCCTTGATTACAGAACATTCGGTGCCGTAAACCGGATCCGCCGATTTCTGTGGCTCAACTGACTCAATCAGCGTACCAAACAAATTTAATGTGTAGTTTAGCCGAAGCTATCATTAAGTCTAATTGACTTTTTATAGCCGTTTGTGTTCTTATTTCATGTTTTTCTTTGCATTTATTTTGTTTGCTCGACTGCTATTACAAATGCTACACTGAGCGAAATAAGTGCATAATGTTGTGTAGCTAGAGATAGAGAAGTCAGAAATGGAAATTATGTTAGGTTTATGGAATACTGTTTTTTCTTATCATTAAGAAAATATATGGAAATTTGTAAAGTCTCTACTTTGCCTGAATATTTTCTTACATTTATTTTATCTATATTTAAAAATATATTTGAAGTTTAGATGCATTTTTCCACAGTGTATGCACAGACTAATTTTAGCCGTAATTGTCGGGTTTTGGAGCTGTGGAAATCAGCAGCTTGTACACATCATATTTATGGTACGGCTGGCTTTAGAGGTGTGCGCATTAGACAATAATGAGCGGGCTTATGGAGAGCGCAACCGCAACAAAAGTCGCCAGTCAAGTTCAGGGTGAGTAATGCGGAGAGTCGTCTATGATTCGCTCGCTCGATCGATATTCACACGTTGTTGATCGCAATTAGAGGACAGCAACAACAAAAGTGAAAGTCACTAAACTAAGCAGGTAGCCGAGTGCTGAGGGCTGAGGGAGGGTGGCAGCCAGCGAGAGGTGGAGCGGGGGCGTGGCTCCCATGCAAGTCACCGAATTCGTTTCAATTAAAAGGCAATAATCGCAGACGCGAAAACCCAGGACGTGTGGGACCTGTGGAGCAACGCATAAATCACATGACGCGATGTGTGCATGAAAAATGCGCTGAAAACAATTTGCATACAATTTGGTTGACAGACAACGACACCAGCAACAACAACAGCAACAGCAACTGTTGCCGCTGGGGTGTTTGCGAATTTAATTTACGAGCTTAACTAAAGGGGCGTGGTCGGAGCTTGTGTGCGTGCGCTCAGGTAAACTACTTAATTATGAAGCCAATCTGCAATTTGCATTGAAACAAGCAAGCGGAGCTCATTGAAGCTGTCAAAGAGACTCAGACTCAAAAGCTAACATGCCCAACAACAACAACAGCACCAGCAGCAACAACAACAACAAAAACTAGAACAGTAGTAGCAACAACAACAACTATAACAACAACGCAGTCTACGTGCTTTGTTGTGTGTGCGCGGGCAATTGCGCAATGTCCTCCAACGACAAGTTGGCCTAAAGAACTTTAATTGGCCAAAAGCGAGGCACAACGCAGGCGTCAGCCCAAGCAGATTGCCGCGCTGCTTGGGATAAACCGAAGGCAGCTCCGACAGCAACATCAACAACAACAAATTGACGGTCGCTTTTAATTTCATTAATGAAAAGGTAATATATGTACTATATATGTATTTATATAAACATACCTATTTATATTTATACCCTAGTTAAGGGTCTTTTGGTATGTTTGATAGGTAGGCAATCCTGAAATTCTAGTTGCTATTCTGATATTCATTCCCCACTTCATTGCTAAGCTATGATTACAAATAATGGACTATAATAACTCTCATTGAAAAATTCTTTTAAGAGTACGATACTATTTTTTACCAATACTACTAATAGTATGTAAACTGATATACTACAACAACTTTTGTATCTTGCTATTAAAATTACTAATGCTCTTTCTCTCGAGCACTAATTCTTCATGCTATGCTGCTACTATTAATTCTCTCTACTACTATTGTTACTACTATTTTTACTTTCTTAAACTACCATTATTCTTCTATTGCTTTAAGCTATTACTATTATTGCTAATACTACTACTATTATTACTGCTACTACTGCTGCTAGTTCTACTACTACTACTATTATTATTGCTACTAGTACTGATGTTACTACTACGACTATAATTATTAGTATTGCTATTACTACTACTACTCATACTCTTATTACTACTGCTACTACTACTACTACTAGTTCTATATTACTACGACTACAACTACTTATTTTTATAAACATTTTTTAAGCATCCCTTTACTGCTTTTACAACTATCACAAATAATTTATACAACTACTATTGCTGTTAATGTTACCGTTACTGCTATTACTACTATTACTTTTACTTTGTACTACTCATCCTCTTCTTACAAAATTATTTCTCTTTCGATTTATAGTAATCTCATGAGAGTTATGCGAGAGATATTACTATTAATGATATAATGATTAACATAACTTAATCCAATTTGAGTTGCTATCAGCTAAGCAATATATTAACCAGAAATGTACTCTACTTAAGTACATTCCCTCTCTCACTCTCCTGGTCTGTTAGAGTATTCACGCTTCGTCAATTATTTAACTCTCGCCGTCTTCATTCGGTTTCTTGTTTTATGTGCTCGTCGCAGTCGCTGTGAATTGAAGGTATTCTAGCAATGTTTTTTTTTTTTTCGCTGTTTCAATTGTCTTGCCATTGTTACAGTTTTCAGTTGCTGTTATTATAATTATTATTAGTTGCTGTTGTTGTTGTTGTTATTGTTATTGTATTCGCTGTAATGTGCACGACATTGCGGCAGCTCGACCTTGACCGCGTCCACCGTGTGGTATACTTAATTGGCGAATTGCTCTACCGCTCGTCACCACACATACATACACACATACATACATATATTATATGGTATATGGTATATATAATTATGCAAAAACCCGACACTAATTAAACAACAAGTAAATTAGAAATATATTTCGCTGCACTTGTGAAATTTCGATTGCATTTCCAGTCATAAATCACCAGCGAAAAAATTGACGTCTATTAATTTGAAATGTGTTTTTGATTTGTGCCGTGGCCAAGCGCTTGCCCAATGCAACAGGCAACAATCGAACAATGCAGCAGCCACAGCCGCCGCAGCAGCAGCCGCAAAAGCCATTAAAATGCAATTTGAGCTGCAACCACATACGAGTGGGTGAGTGGGTGGCTGTGTGGCTGTGTGGCTTGGTGTCAGCCATGCACGCACCCAAATCGTATCCTGTTTTATTGCCCCAATCAATCGATCAACTACTCAATCATTCGATCATTCGATTGCGCGCGTGTGTCCACTTCATACCATTTGCATAGCGATAAGGCCAGAGTTGCTGTTGTGGCTCGAGGTGTCCGGTGAAGGGTTGAGCTGACGTCAATATGCAGATTTGTGGCACCGCCAAAAGAATTGTCCACCTCTTGCTTGTTTCTCGGATTGATTTATGCGCCATAAAGTTTAAGCGCGCTTTGTGCACAGAATCAAAGCTCTCAGCAGCTGCCCGTCAAGGCCCCGCGCGCAACATCAACACAAGAGGCCTACGCCCGATTGTATAATCGCCTTTTATCTGAACGCCAACAACAGCAACAACAATAGCAGCAGCAACAACAATCAGCAGTCAAATCCAACAAATCGAGAAACATACAAAGTCTTTGCATTTGCATTGATTATGCTGCCGAGTCGAGCTACCCGAATTGCCGAGATTTGCGGCCAGATAATGATGAGGCGTGCCCGGAAAGCAGTGGAGTGGGGTGTGGCAGGGGTTGCGTGTACGAGCAGGAGCAGGAGCAGGAGCAGGCAGGGGCTGGGGCAGGATTGCAAGATATTAAGAATGGCTATTAAGAAATCTGGCAGGCCATTAAGGCGAGCGCTCAAATATGATTCGAGCATGGATTGCATTTTATTTTGCAAATACCCTGTAATATGCCAGCTCTTGCAAAAGGGGTTTATTACTGCTGGGAATTGTTATGTGCGCAGCAGAGAGAGATGGCAGATTAGACTGAAATTGCAAAGATAGCAACCTAAGTGAATGGCTAGCAGAAGTAAATGAGATGCAAAATATGTTTAAAAATTAAGTATACGCCCGATAAATTCTACTTCTTCTTATACTTAATATCTCCTCTATTGACAGTAAAGCCAGATAATATATGGATTATTTAAATTGTATGCCTATGAATTGAATGCCGCACTTTATACATACATATACAGCATATATTATATAAACTTTTTTGACAGCCAAAGCTGGCTCATTTGCAGATTAGATAAATTAATAATAAAACTCATTTTAGCAATATGCCACATACAAAGCTGGAACGAATATTACGTATACGTAGCTTAGTATCTTTCCACCTACAGACGCCGTGCTGCTCTGCCCGTTTACTAAACTCATGATATATGCCCAATTTGACAAACTTTTGTGGAGCTTCCAGGGTATTTGTCAATCATAAAACGCTTTCAATTACCGCCAGTTGTTTATTTACTGTAATTTATTTGCATTTGCGATGCGAATTGATTTTGCAGTTAGTTGCGAGTTACGCATACGGCGCGTACGCCGCGCCGCCGATAAGAAATCAGTTTACAAAAAATTAATGTACAATCGTACAACATAGCAATAGTAGCAGCAACAGCAGCAACAACAACAGCAACAAAGTAGCTGCAACTGCAGCTGCTCTGGCCATTCGCAATTTGTTGCCAGCTATTAGCGAGTGCGATTTTTCATACACTATTTGGACTGATCAGCGAACGGAGCTCGTTTAACGCATTTGCATTCGGTTGGCGGCGGAGGCTGGGGCAGGGGGAGAGGAAGGGGGGTATTTGGAGCTGTGAATGTTTATTCCTACACCTACGGCGAGATCTTTCGCGTTGACTGTCAATCAGTTCCAACTGCTGATTGATAATCACGTGCGTGCGCAGATTTAGAAAGGGATCCGTGGGAGCTGCTGAGAACTACGCACCTATTGCATAATCCAGCGAGCATATGGGAGTTCATTGCCGCAATTAGTTGCAAGTACAGACAATTAAGAGAAGCCACAAGAACTGCAACCGCAAAAGGCTGACAATGCGGCGGGAAAGCTCTGCCTCTTTGGATTTCCTCATTTGAAGCCGGCAACTAATTGATTCAGCCCGGAGTTTTCTAGTTTTCCGCTAGCTGGTGGCAACTACTTGGTTGTTGTTGGTGGCGCGTGACTGATTTCTGTGGCACTGCATCAAGTTCGAATCGAGATCGTATCTCACACACTGGCCAAGTCTCAATGCTCGAGTCTCTGCATGCGATTCTCAGGCAGCCGATTCGTAAGCCGACGCCGCCACGAAGCCGACTGGACAGGGCTGGGCGTTCACGCTTTTGATTCGCTGTTCACGCTCGTTGATTGTTGTTGCTGTTGCTGTTGCTGTTGCTGCTGCTGTCGCATTGTCTATGCGGTTTCAGAATATTTCTCAAGTTTTTGATTCGGTATAAATATGCCCAGTCGCGCGGCTGTTTAAGCATAACACACTCAACTCTTCAGTCAAGTACAACCAACCAACCAAACCAAACCACACCAAGCAACATGTTCAAGCTGGTAAGGATACGCGACAGCTGGAGGCTGGCAGGCAGCTTTAGACTAACCTCTCTTTTATCCTGCAGATCGCTGTACTCTCTGCCCTGTGCGCCGTTGCCAATGCTGGCGTCATCTCCCCCTATGGCCATGGCTATGGTCTCGGCTACGGCTCAGCTCTGGCGCCCGCCTATGCTCCGGCCATCGTCTCGCATGCTCCGATCATCAAGAGCTACGCCGCGCCCATTGTGCACGCCCCGATTGTGAAGACCATCCACCCGGTGGCCACGTCCTATGCCAACACCTACAAGGTGGCCACCAAGGCATACCCCGTGGTGCATGCCGCGCCCATCTACCATGCCGCACCCGCTGTTGTGGCAGCACCTGCTCTGCACACCACCTCCACCTACCACGGCGGCTACGGCAGCTACGGCCTGGGCTACGCTGGCTATGGACACGGCTATCTGCACTAAGAATCCACTCCAGCCGCACATCACTCGACGACAACGCACAGAACGACAAAAGCAACATCCACACAACATCCCCAGCATCTGCAACATCTGCAACATCCACACAGCAAATCGGATCACACCGAGCGATTCTGTGAGAGTTTACTCAGTACAATGTTCGAGGCTTTGCCGCTGTCAAAGCCAGGAACCAACATCATGATCAACCTTTATGTGAGAGACAGAGACAGAGACAGTCAGCGAGAGAGCGAGATAGGGAGATCAAGCTAATATGCTGTATATAAGTTTTATTTTTGTTATTGTGCAATGCTCGTGGTTTCGACTTATAAGTAAATAAAAACGATTCAAAACTCTTAAACAATAGATCACTTTTTACTGCATACACTGCGCAAAAAATGGGGGGCCAACTGGGGCGTTGACTAATATTTATGTGAATGCAGCGCGATTGAACAAAGCTGCGAAAAGTCTTTTTGTTAAATGCAAGAACTTAGGAATATTTTGTAGCCATGAAATTGTAGTTAGCTGTAAAATACACTGGGAAAATATTTGTGGCAGTTGGCATTTGGTGAAAAGAATGCATAGTGGAAGTAAGCCGGCTAATACACTGGAAATTATGTTAGGAATGTTTTAATGCTTTGCTTGATTGCTAAATACACTGTAAAAATTAGGGAGTGGCTTAATAATTTTTTAGTAAATATTAGATTGGCAAATTTATATATTCATATATACAAAAAATATTTGTTCTTAGATTGATAAATTTTTATTTTAATGAGCTGCTATAATGGGAAGATTTAAGTTGTATTTTATACATTTTCAGCTCTAATATACATAAATCTAAAATAGAACTAAGATAGAAGATTCTTAACACTATACTCAGCTCTTAATAAAAAATTTGAACATTTGAATATCTCTTTGGTCATCTAGTATATAGAGAATGTGTTCAACATATTTATTATTATTTATTTTGATAATTATAAATTTAGTAAAAAAATTAAGATTTTTTTTTATTTTGGCCTGAATATCATTAAAAATCTCAATATTTTGCACATTAAATTGTTTTCTATGATTGTAAAAATTTCTGACTGAGACTCATTTCAAGTCATTATTATCTTGAACATATATGTTGGCTTTTCGTTCAGTGTAGTTGTCAAAGTGTTGAAATTTGCTTGGCAAAATGCATTACAAATGCCAACGCCTCGCAATTATGCCGACTGCCAATTGATAAATAGCAAAAAGGGGGCAACAAGAAGGTGGCAAGGAGTCGACAGGCGCGAGGCGGTGGGCGGTGGGCGGGGTCGAGGTAGCGCAATGTGGCAAGTGGCAAGTGGCAAAAGTGGCTGCAATGAAAGTGCGTTGCGAGTGGAGCAATTGAAATAATTATTTATTTCATAGCCTGTTCAAACTTCATGTGCCCAGTTTTTGAGTTGATTTGGCAATTGCGAAAAAGTCGAGCAGACGCAAAATATGTCACATAATTTGTGTTGGCCAAGTTAGTTGGCTGGCTTATTAAACTTTAATGGAGCGAAGCCAAAAGCCAAACGAGTTGAGCTAGAAGCGACTAAAGCTAGACTAAAGCCAAACTAACAGTATGAACAATGATTATTGCCTTCAATCGGCTACAATGCCATGTATTGTGGTGCTGTTGTGTGTGTGGTGCTGTGGTGCTCAGCTGGCCTTTGCCTGAAATGTACAATAATTGCAGATTTTCAGATATACAATGCGCATTATCGGCATAAATTATGCCCGGGCGATTGTAAACTATAATTTTATTGAAGTGAAGTTGAAACGAAACGAATCGAAGCGTTGACACCAGTCGATCCACAGATTGTTGGATCGGTTGGCCGTTCAGTCGACCGTTCAGCGTTGGCCATTGAGCGTTCATCTAAGGCCGCACCACAATTTGGCAACGACCTTCAGAGAGCAGACTGTGGTGAAGCTGTGCCGCTGCCGCTGCTGCTGCAGCTGCTTGTGGGTCGCTTCCTACTTGCGCATTTGCGCATTGAATATTCAGCCAAGCGCAACAATTTTGTCTCTGCGGCAAATGCACTTTAAGCCGTCGGCCGCGGGGGCAAGGGGCGTGGTCGACAGTTTGCTCTCATGGCACAGTTAACTCCCGTTGCTATTTCCCACACTGCGAGGCCACAGCGAAACACCTGCTCGCAGCTTTTGAGCTGCGAGAGACAACGGTCTCTCCCTCTCTCTCTGTCTCCCTCTCTCTCTCCCTTTAAGACAGAGTTTGAGTGGCTTTTCCGGCAGTCGAGTTAAGTTCGTCAGCTTAAAAGTATTCCACACTCAATTCAATTATTCATGTTGATTTGCCAGCTACGTGCCGTGCATGCCATTTGCCATTTGCCATTTGTCATTTGCCATTTGCCAACGGCCAGTTGCAACAGGGCAAGGACCTTCGACCACAAAACAAACAGCACAAGGCTTTGCGGCTGATTGCGACTGCGTCACATATGCAATTAAAAGCGCATTCAGTTGCCATTGCAGAAATAGCCGGGGCTTACGTGCGACATGCCATATGACAAGCTGTGAGTTTAATTACTCTCAGTTCTCGCATCGGTCACTCAACCACCCAGCCACTGTGGTGCTGCTGTTGGCCAACTGATCCTGCCCCTAGGAAATGCACAAAAACACGCGTGACCCACGCACTCTATGCTCCTTCTTTCTTTCTCTCTCTCTCTCGTTGTTCTCACTCCCCTTAGCATTGACCTTGAAGCGTTCGTTGACTTTGCTTTCTATACTCTTTCAGGAACGGCAGAAGGGGTATATTGAGAAGCACGAAATTCTGTTCATCTTGAATTTTTACTCTTATTTATTTATTTATTTCTTCTTTTTTTCTAAGATTGTGTAGGCAATGGCGTATGTGTTTTTATATTTTATTCTGTCTAGCGAAACTTACAGCTCAGTGAGCAAATTTGCTTGCTATTCTTGCTGTTTATACTCCGTAACATCAAGTACATCAAGAGTATATTGATTATGTGTAATATACTTGTAATTATGCTGCAAACTTTAATATAAACTCTGTCTATATAATTTTCTCTATTCTATCTTCAACAAACTTCAAAAGTTCTGTTAGAGCAGTTGTCTTATATTTACCGTTTTGCATGTCTTAACCCGATTACATTGTAATTTATTTTAGGAAAATGAACTCGGCGCCATTTGCTCATGTTTATACAACCAGAAAATCTCATACTTAAGCACTTCCACTCAGCACACGCTTAACTATTTTTATTGCTTATACCCTGCATGAGCTGGTCTATGGGTTATGTTGACAGCTCCAAGTTTTATGCAAGTGTATGCTTAGTTTTGGCTTTAATGTAGTTTTATATTAGACTTTCAGATTCACTAAAAATAATATCTATCTTAGACAGTTCGTTTAGAGTACATATTTATGAAGCTTACTGGAAAAATGTTTTAAATTTATAACAATATATGTACATATTTAAATCAAGCACATTTTATAGTTAGCTTAAACTACATAGCTTGCTGAAAAAAAAAAAAAAAAAAATAACTAGCACAAGATTTATTATTTTATATTTTGTCTTAATGCATAGAGAATTCTCTGAGCAATAAAAATTTAATGTAAATATAAAAACCCATACATTTTAGCATTCATTAAATTTGCAAAGAGATAAACAACAAGTCGAGCAACGGCTTAGCGCTTTATATTTATAGAACAGCCTGATGAACTGCGCCAGAGTGCAGCGCACTAAGCAATAGATTAAGTTAAGGCTCTGGGATTTGCTGCACGTTAAGCTGCAACACGCGACGCAGATGTGGGAAGTGGCAAGTGGCAAGTGTGTTCAAGTGAATTCAGTGCCAGCGTGGCACACGCGGCGTATGAGCAACATTTGCCAGGCAGACGCACACTCACACACGCACACACATGCATGGGGTACGTAGTGGGGGCAATTGCCAAACTTCAAAAGCCAAAACAATGTGAGTGTGTGTGATGGAATTTTACGCTGCGTGAACAACGTGCAACGTGTGCCACAAGATGCCGTAACAGGTGGAGCGCACAGCGAGCGCCCCACACGCACCACGTGCCCCACAACTTAAAGCGCTTTGCCGCTGCTGGCAACTGTGGAGCAGCTGCGTTGCCAGAGGCACTTCAAGGCGGCGGCATGTGCGCCACTCAAAGGCGAACAACAAAGGAAGACAATGAAAAAGAAAAAGTGCAGAGAGAGAGAAAGAGAGAGGAAGGAAAATGGAAATGGGCAAAGCAATGCCCCACTCGGAATACATTAAACATATTGATTTCTGATTGGGAAACACTTCGTTATGCTAATTTCGACTGACAATTTTTCCATCGTTTCGCAATTGAAGGTGGTGCGGTGGCGCGGTGGGGCGGGTGGTGCCGTCTGCCACGTGTTGCGCATTTGGCAACCATTTAATTGGAGTCGTAAGCAATTGGATGCCAATTTTACGAGCTGAATTCATTGCATACTTTCGAGTGCCACGCTTAGCGTCTCTCGGCGTAAACTGCTTTGCGGCGCTGCGCTTAAAAGCGGCCACTAAAAGATATTTTGTGTCGTAAAATGTGGGAAATATTAGTGAAGTCGGGTATGCCATATTTTAAGCAAGGTTGTGTAACGTAAGAAGAAGATACAAGATACAAGGGTAAATTACATTATAATAAATGTATAAGGGAGCCAAGCGCCAAGTCTTACACAATTTGTTGGCAACGGTAGACGAACAGTCTAGAAGATATATACTCCGAAATATATAGGATACGGAAGAACATATTGCTAAAGGAAGAACATACGTTTGGAAATATGTAAGACTTCATCTTTTATAACTTTCGAGCTCAGGCAGGTTGTATAAGATTTGGCCTTACTTCCTTTGTACGTTTAAGTTTATCATTTCTTATCAATAACTGCTTCAAGATCTTTAACATAAATCAGAAATTGATTTTAAAAATTTTTCTTTATTTATTTAAGATTTATTTTAATACTGTATATTAACTATAACTACCCTCATGTCTATTTCAGTAGGTAATTCCATAGAAACTATTCCAAGCTAGTTTGATTTGCCACTGTTTCAAGTTCATTAATGAATTTTCAAACCTTATCTGTGTTTTTATCACACTTCCACATCCAGGATAACTCTCCCCTTTAAGCATTCTCTTACTACTCCCTCTTAGCACAGTATCTTCTAGTCGTGCATTCCCATATTTGCCATTACTTACTTGTGGTCTTCTGTTGATATTTTGGCGTTTATGAGCAACAGGGGCCATCAATCACAGTCGATGTGGCATGAGCCGCGAAACGTGCCTGCAATTCCTTACGGAACTGGAATCGGAATTGGAACTCCCTCGTCACTGCCACAACCTAAGTCAACTTCTAAAACCAATTTTATTGCTCACTCTCTACCTGCCGCTAGCTGCCTCCACTGAACCACACCCCCTCGTTGCCCCCTTGGAGACAGTGCATTGGGATTGCGAAACGTGCCGCGTGCATTTGGCATCACGATTCGCTTGTCGATGGGACGTGGCCCTTGGCTGCGTGAACTGCTCCCGTAATGGAGTTTCTGTCACATACTGCGTAATCGCTAGAGTAAGAGTATAAAAACCTCTGATGTTCAACGAAAACAATTCATTTGATGTGAAAGTCTTTGATTGTCCAAACGTACCAATAAACGCGTCTACAAATCGTCAATTGCCGTGCTTCAAAATGTGGAAGATTGTGAGTATTTCGGGTGTTTCAGTATTACAACACCTTAAAACTGCAAAGTGAGCTGCATCTTCGATCGGATAAGTCAGTATAGTCCAAAGACTATATATTCTATTCGACTCACATCGCAGCTATAACTAACTGGAGATGAATTCAATATAAACCTGGATTGCCCAGCTTGGTTCAAGGCATTTTCAGTTTTGCCATTGTTCCGTTCCACTGTTCCATGCGTGCTCCACACCACTGATTAACTGTTTCGTATTTACATACCACTGGCTCATTCTCTTATACCATTCAGCTGTTTAGTTTTACATTACACTGTTTCATTCCACCATTCCATTTCAATATTCAATACCTCTGTTCCATTGACGATCTTCGACTGTCTCACTGCAATTTATAATTCCTCTTCTGTCTTCGTCTTTGCCATTCCACTTTCACCTCACTCGAACTCTCCCTTTCTCTTTCAGTTCGGTCCGCTCTTCCTCATCTGTCTCTCATCACACACCCAAGCCAGCTTCTTCCATGGCCCACCTTCGCCTGTCGCCGTGAATACCGTCTATAGCGCTCCACCTACACTCACTTATGCTGCTGCACCACCTCAACACGTTACATACTCTGCCCCACCACCACCACACTTCAAATACGCTACGCAACACATTAGCGCCTACTCGGCGCCAGCTCCAGTTATCAAGTATTCGTTGGGCCCACCTGTAACCACTACAACCACCACCTACTCAGGATTTGCAGCACCGCCGCAGCAGCCTGTTCTGCACGTGGCCCAGGCACCACAGCCCGTTGTTCACTATGCAGCACCCCCGCCACCACCACCACCACCGGCTGTAATTGTAGCCCGTTATGCTCCACCTCCACCACCGCCGGCAGTCGTTGTGGCCCGCTATGCTCCCCCCCACCACCACCGCCGCCACCACCAGTCACATACCACGCACACGCCCAGCCCACCTACACCCGAGTGTCGGTCCATGCCCCGCCCCCCGTGGTTACCTACGAGGCGCACGCTCCAGCACCGGCTGAGCTACCGTGCGACACCGCCGCCTGGTGAGCCACATCCGACCCAGACATACCACACCACTTAGCTATAATCATGTTCATTTCAATGCTAATCGAACGGCAATTAATTAAGCGAGAATTTATAAGTCCACGATTAATATTTGATGATAACAAACATCTTCCGCGGAATTTATGAGACAGCGGCGAGAACGCCAGCGTGTCTAATTATGCAACGGATGGTGCTTAAGATAGCGCCAGACCAATACCACCACCACCGAAAAATGTGTGAGCAAGCCAACCACCTGCTGTGAGAGATACCGTAAATAAATAAAAACATTATTAACGTAGCCAACTGAGGTTCGATTGACCCACCTCAATGCGAAATCCATTGAAGCTGTCAGCGTTAAGCAAATCGAAATCTATCAAATGGGTCAACCATACGTATGTATGTATGTATGTACATAGTATACATATATATACATACATATATTCGATCCATGCATAAACATAGCCAACGATTTTATTAGCACAAATTATAACTGAATACATTTCGGAGGAGGTCAGCCACTCCACGAATCTGTGGAATGCTCGTTCAGACAATAGAAGAGAGTATTTCGGTTTACAGTAATGCATAGACTGAAATGGATGGATATCAGAGATTAGACATCGATGCGTGCTTCAGTTGACTGTTCCATTCCACTGTACCTTCACTGTTTGCTTTAATATTCCAATTCATTATTTCACTCCACTGTTCCTTCCCCCTCTTCCACACCTCTGTCTCGCAGCGTCCTCTCACTCCACTGTTCAATATATACAAGTGCTCATTAAGCCAAGATAAATATAACAATTTAGTCAATAAAATGTAGAGAGTTACGGCCAACAAATTTGATAAATAAAGCCCAACAAAGAGTACATTAACAATCAACTCAGATAAGTTATCTAAAATATGTACATACATAAATTGGTTTACTTTTGTACTGCGAACAAGTATCTCGCAGTCGTTAACATTCAAATGCTTTATTCCTACATTTTCGATTATTTGCTTTTTGTTTTTAGTTTGAGCTTGGGTCTTCGGTCTCGGCGTGCTGCCGTCAATTTGTTGTTCGGGGTTGCCGTCTTAATTGAGTTCCCAAACAGCAGTATCTAAAGACCTATTAGCCAGTTGCTGTAGCAGCTGTAGCCGCTGCCCGGCTGCTAGCCAATTGGCTGGCCATATCGTAGCTGATGTCACATGACTGTCGCTTTGTGTTTAATAAGCCCAAATTCACAACAGCTCAAATGCTCAACATGCTGGCAAGGTGTCGAAACTGTTGTAGTTATTTCATTTGTTTGGCACTAAACGCCGACCAGGTGCGCGCCTGCAGAAGGGGGCAGCAAAAGAATATAATGGCAGCATCTGAGCTGTGCTTTTATAAATTAAACTGCGAGCTACATATTGAGATCTTTATAGATATCTTCTCATTAAGCTAAAATATTTCGCGATTTGCACCGTTAGCTCGATTAAATATATACTTACTTTTTTTGAATTTCTTAACTTATTTCATTAAAAGCGATGGATGGCCTCTTGACAAATTTCCTTCAATTCTAAGCACACTTTGAGTCGCTTGTTAAGTCGATTAACGTCAGCTCTGGCTGGAATAATAATAAACAATCGATTAACAGCTACCCGACATTAGCCGCTAGTTAATAACCCCCTTGGCGACGACCCTGACTGACTAACTGACTGACTGACTAGCTGACTGGCTAAATCGTTGTGGCCTGTTGCATAGTTTGGATGCCAATCGAAATGACCAACATTGATTTATATGCAAGGCAAACTAAATATTATCAATAGACGCTGCTCAACAGCCAGGCAGAGGCAGAGGCAGCGGCAGCGGCAGAGCTTGAGCTAGCGACAGCAACAAATGGCAAAGCAGCTCATACAAAATGCGAACAACTTAGCACTGAAAACATAAACAGAGTCACAAGATAACCAACAACAAGAAGAGCAACAGAAAAGGCAACAACAACAACAACGACAGTAAGAGCAGAGCAACAACAAAAACAACAGTAAATGCCAATGGTGCAGCGGAACGATGCCCCAGCAAACTAAAGCGAAATACAATGGCACCAGGCAAGCGAGAGAGAACGCGAGCGAGAGAGGCAGCCAGAGCGGGACAACAACAACAACAAACGGTTAAACAGAAGCAGAATGAATAAGTAGAGCCAGCAGAGCTAAGCTAAGCTGAAAGTCAAAATATGTTTTGCCGCCAGCAGCGACGCCGACAGCGGCAGAGGCAACAGGTAGCGGCAGAAGCACAAACGCATTTTGATTTCTGTTTGCATGCCCTGTGATCAAACATATGGCGGAAGCGGGTATGCCTCGATTGAGTGAAATTTGTGGAATGAGCTAGAATTTAATAATAGTAATTTAATAATAATAATAATAATAATAAATCAGTAAATATGTTTGATTAGGTATATAAAATTACTCAATATATTTATTTATTCTTTATATTTTATTTCTAAATAATTATAATGAGACCTATTTCTACCTTACAAACTATAAAACTCAATCGTACGTGAATATAGCAGAGGGGTTAATATAGGGTAGTTGAAGCAGCTACTGATACCCCAGCTCATCACCTACTTCAGCCTAACTGCACATTACAGGGTATCTACCAGTCAGGTCTCACTTGCTTGGCCAAGTGCTGGCTCTTGGACTGGTCGAGTCGTCATCGCGAATGTTTGACTGGTCGCCGCGTTCGTCTGCCCACCTGTCCTCAGGCAGAACTCAGCTGAGGCTCAGCTGTGGCTCGCCGTGTTTCAGTAGTCGAGCTATAAAAAGCATCTTCAGCTCGCGCACAAATTTTAATCAGTACGAAAAGCTGCGCCCGTCCACAACGGAAACCGCAAACGAAACGCATTCAAAAATTTATTGAATACCCGTGTTCAGGTGCAATAAAAGTGAAACATCCAATTAACGGCACTCAAAATGTCTCATAAAGTGAGTGTGTGTTTGTGTGTGTGTATATGTGTGAATGCTGTGTCTGACATGTGATCTAATCTCTAACGGATTCTTTCAGAAATCTGTGGTGGTGCTGCTTCTGTTCTTCGGCCTGGCGCTGCACTCGAGTGCGGTGCGAGCGGATGTGTCGCACCTGGACTACTCCATCGCAGCTAGCCCCCAGCTGGGCGCCTATCACTATCCAGTGCCACGTGCTCCGCAGCGTGCGCAGCAGCATGTGGCACGCCAGTTTGTAGAGCCAGCGCTGGAGCATGCGGCATTCACACAGGTGCTCACCAGTCGGGGCTATGTTTTCGGTGGTAATGCAGCCCCTATCGCTGCACCACTGACAGCGCCGGCTCCTGCACCTGCTCCGGCACCAGCAGCAGCAACGGGACGAGCCATAGCCACCCATTCGGATAGCAATTCGCTGAATCTGAAGCTGCCCGTGCCCTTTGGCCTGATGCCGTTGAATGTGGCGAATTTGCCGCTCCAGGCGGGCGCCTCCTATGCCACAGTGCCGCACACCACCGGGCTGACCTCCTACGGCACCGCGCAAATACAAAGGCGCTGAGCACCACCGAGCCACAGCAACAACAATTCACATATATATCAGATAGATTTCATAAGCATCGATTTTAGTTGAATTAACTTTTCATCACAGAGCCAAATGACTGTCTTACCAGCTCTGTGACTGATTGAGTGTGTGTGTGTGCGTATGAATGAGTGTGTGAGTGTGAATGCGAACGTATGTGTGTGTGTGAGCCATCTTAGGGATAGATATACGAAATACATAAATGCTATTAAATAAAATAAAAGATACTTGCCATTTAAAGCTCTCTTAAACTCGGAGATTGCTTTATTATGACAGGTTCATGACCATCAAAGATACCGTCTGTCCAACCACTGCAAAAACGCTTCATCTCTCGGTGGTGCACATTTGCATATGAAGAGTCGAAGGTCGCAGCAGCCGCAGCCGCAGCCGCAACCACAATGAAAAAGATGAAGACGTCTTTATCCGATTTGATTGTCGATCGCACCTTTCACCTATGAGCCGCCACTTATCAAAGATCAATGTTTGTTTACGACGTGTTGCGGTGGTGCGGCGGTGCGGCGTTGGTGCGGCTACTCATATTAAAAAATGATGAGCACCTCATTAGCATACAAGCGCTTAAATTGTTTTTTCAGTGCTCGAGGAGCTGATCGTAAGGCCTTAAACTTGGCATTGATTTACGAGCCGCAAGCCCAACTCCCTCCCCCCATCCACACTTGCCACTCCACAGCGCTGCTAATCCAACGTCTAACTGGAGAAGCGGATATGAGATCGGAACTCTGATCTGGATTGCCGATGTTACGAAACCACTTTCTCACATAACTGGAATAACAGCAATGCAATTTGAAAACAATCAAAACAAACGGTACTCGATGCGAATATCAAATAAAGCCCATCTCAAATATAGTCTATAGCAATTGGGCGTCGAGGAAGTGAGCGGAAGCTCTCGAGTTTCCGAATTTCCGTATACCCACCTCAACACTGCTAACCCCTCGTAGAACTCGTGATCCAAGCTCGATGTCAAGAATCGTTTACACGACGACCAAGTGAGCGGCCAACTTGAGTGGAACAAGAGTGTGTGTGACGAAAGCAATGCCGAACACTGAATACCCTCGCGTACAATATGCTAATATGCCCATTGAATTGAATTGAAATCAATGCGAAACAAAACAATGCAAGCCAAAACAAAGTCAATTTTATCGTTTTCCTTTTATTTTAGTTTTTTTCAATTGGTAATTTCTATGGCTGTTTTATAAAGCATGTATATGTATATTTAATATATAATAACTTGATTTGAATTTATATTTCATTAATAGTCAAAAAAAAAAAAAAAAAAAAAAATGCTTTACTGAATTTCATAAATATAAGAAATATGATGTTTACATAGCCTAGTCAAAACTATTTGAATAAATTGGTAACCACTATGCGAATGATGTTGATTTCTAAAATATTTGTTTTACAGACCCCTACTTTTCTATGTACCGAGTGTTATTGACATAGCTTTAGTAGAACTTGAGTTCATATAGAACATATATGAAGATATTATACTCAATAAATTGTGTTCTTTAAATACTAAATTCGGGTAGCATAGAATCAAAAGGTAATAATAAATGAATGTAAATAAAAATTGTATACTTAAATACTTAATAAATGTTCAGTTCTCATAAGAAATACCTTAGCATATATATAGCAAGGCAAGTAATGCTGATCATCAAAAATAAGTATATACACAGTAGATATACATCAAATTTACTCGGATGTTGCCAATCAAGACTCTAACTTCTCTAAGCTACTCCATCAATTTGGAACCAATTTCATTATGATAGCTGTAATAGAGTGAAGATTACTATATGATAATTAAATTAAAATGAAACACTTTAGAGGCTGCTCCATGTCATTGATATGCTATTCACATCAAGTTTTTTAAGAGTGGATGGAAGAAGTGAAGATCACAACGGCTTGACAGGATTAATAAACTCAAAACTCTTTGATAATGCGATTTACGCACTGTCACATAAGCTCAGACAACATTCTTATGCCCAGTTGGCTGTCATAAAAAATGCAGAGAGCATACAAGACGTGAATACAGTTATATACATACACATACACACACACGCAAAGCGCAGGTAGCATCAGGCACTGGCCTCTGGTCACTTGAACAGCTCATCTATCAAGGCCTTGGGTTCATCTCGAGCAACAATGTGAAGCCCAGAAAGAAAAGAGATAGAGAGAGAGAAAGAGAGAGAGAGAGAGAGAGGGAGAGATAGATCATATCGGAGCAGAGGAGGCGAGGCTGTTGATGACGCCGTCGCTGCTAGCACGTGACCAGCCGAGATCCAAGCGTATTGCTCATTAAGTCCGCAAGCCGGTTTCAGCGTCATCAGTGGCAGAGGCGGAAGAGAGGGCAGCAGCGGCTGTGTGGTTGATTTGGCCACAGCACATCCTGTTGTTGGCCCTGTTGGGTTAGGCTCAAGGTCGACACAGGATGCGATGGCGAGGCGGCGCAATTGAAACTTTACGAGCGATCGTTAAGTGCGGCACTAATGCGACACGCGTTTTTATGGCCAGCTTAGTTTGAAATTGAAAATTGAGGCTAAAACGCTGAAACCACCAATTGGTAATTGGCAACCACACAATTGACCCACTCGCCGCCGCCGTCTGCATACAAATGCGAGCACTTTTGCGAAATTTCTCAATGCGTCGGCGATTGCGACTGCGATTTGGACTTCCTACTGATGATGGTGCGCTACCTGTTGGTTGCTGGCTGGTAGTTGTTGGTGGTGTCACTATCAAAGGCCAGGCACGTGCCACCCCACACAAAGAAGCGACCAAAATATGCACGAATATCGAGCAGAATACTGCACTGGCTATATGGCCATATGGCTATATAAAGCGCAGTTAGTGCCACTAGCAGACATTATCAGTCCAGTGCTCCAACCACCTGACAACCACAGCCAACATGTTCAAATTCGTAAGGCGCCGCCTCGACTCCTGCGTTTCAACCACTTTTAACCCGCTTTCATTTCTCGACAGCTCATCATTGCCGCCCTCGTCGCCTGCGCCGCGGCCAAGCCAGGCGTTGTCGCCCCAGTCGCTGCACCACTGGCCGCCGCTGGAGTCGCCTATGCCAATGCACCACTCTATGCCGCTGGCGGCAGCAGCCAGGTGGATATCCGCAACAACTACGATGGCACCCAGTCCTCCTACACCACCGCACCGTTCGAGCTGACACCACCCTACTCCAGCCGCTATGTCTCCGGCATTCCAGCTGCCTATGCCGCCGCACCACTGGCCGCACCACTGGCTGCCTCTCCCTATGCTGCTCCTCTGGCTGCTTCTCCCTACGCTGCTCCTCTGGCCGCTCCTTATGCCTCGCCCTACACCCTGGGCTCGCCCTACGCCGCGCCCTATGCCGCGCCCTACAGCTTCGCTGCTCCTGCCCCACTTTTTGGTTAGACGTGTCTTCAAGACCGAACATGTTTTCCTAGCGAATTTCCAATAAATAAAATCGAATTTTTTTAATTAAAAACAAGCATAAACTTTTCTATTTAATGTGCCTGACTGTAAGATACTCTGCTTTCAATTTACAGTCAAACTCTTTCAGGAAACTCATTCAGCTATGCAGCTAAACATTCATTCATAGAATTCCCAATATTGTAATACATGAAATGCAAGTCCCTGGTAGTCGCTTATACCCGCCCTATACCCTCCAATTGAGCGGCTCATAAATTGCTCTGTTCACGTTCAACTTTCAATCGCCTCGATCGATAATCTAAGCGCGGCAATATTTTATGCACAATGTCATAATCGTTTTCCATTTCGAGCTGCACACAAATAGCCATCCACTTATATAATATCGAGCGGTGCAAGAAGTTATTGGCCCCCTTGAGTCAGTCAGCACCACCATAAGAAGCCAAGCAGAGCCCCAACTAAGGCGCCTTCTAAACAAATGTAAACACGATGACAACAAAGTCACGATTCGTGGTTACCAAATCATTTTCGACGATAAAGTGGCGGCGGGGTGTGGTTCAGTGTGCGGTGGCTCAACTGAAAGTGAAGAAGTGCACGTGCAATTTGGCCACTGGCCAACTGATTTGGCCAGGCTTAAACGCATTGAGAGCTATAAATTAATTGAGCTGATCCATTGCCAGACATTGATAGCTGCGTCTTCGACTCGAGCGGTCAACAGCAACTGAGCACAAGGACAGCACCACCGCACCACTCACACAAAACTCAAGCAAGATGTGGCAGCTGAAATTGGTAGGAATAGTGCACCACAGTGGCTACCAGCACCACCTCGACTAACCAACTTTTTCTTCTCCTTCAGTCTTTCGTTTTGGCCTTGGCTTTGGTCTGCGTGGAGGCCGAACCGTCACACCACTTTGATCATTTGAGCCACTTCAACCATTTCGATCACTTTGCACCAGTGCACGAGCATGTGGTGCCGGATCATGTGGATTATGCAGCGCCGTTGCAGCTGCAGGAAACTTATTTACCAGCTCCGGCCCCTGCTCCACTAGCTCCTGCACCACTGTGGCCAGCACCACTTGCGCCTGCACCTGCACCCGCACCAGTCTGGCCTGCTCCCGCTCCATTGGCGCCAGCTCCACTATGGTCTGCACCACTTGCGCCCGCACCAGCGCCAGCTTGGCCCATTCCTGCACCTGCACCACTGTTGCCCGCACCTGCACCACTGCTGCCAGCGCCAGCTCTCCTGCCCACCACGGAGGTGCATCTGCCCACGGTGACGCAGTTCCTCCCCCCCGTGCTAGAGGCGGTGCCGTTCAGTCACAGCTACCGCGCAATTCCCGGACCCAAGAAGACGACCCACCGCGTCTCCATTGGCTACGTTTTTCCCAAGCTCGTGGCTGCACCACATGCGCATCTGCGCGCTCTGCCCCTGAAGCTGGCCCATCATCATCATCATCATTCGCTCTTCTAAACTAGGTTGGAGTTGGACTGGGCAAAGGTCTATATACAGATATTATTCGTAATACTCGTATTGAACGAAACCAAAGACGTTTTGAGTCGTTTAGAAAATTATCATATATATTATAAATTATGTATTTATAAATTTATATAAATATAATATAAAAAAAAAACGAAAATTTTTGAACATTTTAATGGTTACTGGAGGAAAAGTTAATGAAAAGGTAATGTGAAAAGGAATTGGTGGAAGAGAGATAAAAGATGTATTAAGTAGATAAGAAGGGTTCTTATTATATATACTTAAACTAACATTTAATTGATAATAACTATATTTTACATAACTATCCACTTTATGTATTTCTCAAATTAAATTTTATTTCCTGTTCGACAGTGTAAAATGCAGACAAAATGTTGCAGGCAAACCAAATCAGGAATTCCAGGCACAGCGAGTGACAATGAACAGAGAGAAGGCAGAGAGAGAGAGAGGGAGACAGAGACGAGGTCTATGGTAGGGTATATCCATGAGGTATATGCTTGAGGGCTATCAATAGGGGTCGCTGGTGCAGAGAGGTAAAAACCAAACAACATTTTGTACATGCGACAATTGCAGTGAAGAAATTGAATATTAATTGGGGGACAGGGCGATAGCAAGGGAAAGAGAAAGAGCGAGAGTGTGGAAGGGAGAGCGAGAGAGTGGTTTGAGTAGTTGACACCACATTAGGTGTCACGTACAATAAATGTGGCTCATTAGTAGGTGAATATCGATGCCGCAAAAAACAATAAATAAAAACCAAAAGCAAAAACCAAAAACAAAAACCATAATGAAACGAAAACTTGCTCAACCGAATGTCGGTTAGTGGGCTAGCCAGTGGTGGCGGTGGTGTCGCACTTTGGCGTGCAATTATGAAAGTGGGCGTCGATAATACGTAACAGATGGCCAATTGATTATTAAGTACAGCAAACGCCCTTCGCACCACGGCCTTATGTAGAAAGTCTTGCGATTTGCTTTTGGTATGCCCCACCACACCCCACAACCACCCACATATACCCATATAGTCCGGCAGATGGCAGAATTATAAAAACGCCCAACACCTGACAATCGGACATCAAAGCTTTGTTAGCCCTCAAGCCAACCACCCAACCACCAGCCACCACCCAAACAAAATGTTCGCCAAGATTATGGTAAGTCAAGCACAGCTCCTGATCGAAGGACTTGGATTTACGCTCTGCTCCACCCAACAGCTCGTTGCTCTCGCCTGCGTGGCTGGCGCCCAGGCGGGTCTGCTGCCCCTTGCCGCTGCACCTGCACCACTCGCTGCCGCTGGCATCGTGGCGCCCTATGCCTCCAGCTTCAATGCCCATCGGATTAACCACGCCGTTGCCTACCCTGTAGCACCAGCACCTGTTGCGCCCGTGGCTCTGGCTGCTCCAGCGCCAGCTCCAGTGGCTTTCGCTGCACCACCCAAAGTTGCATTTGCTGCTCCTGCTCTGGCCCCAGCGCCTGCCTTTGCTGCTCCTGCTCTGGCCCCGGCGCCTGCCTTTGCCGCACCTGCCCTCGCACCTGCTCCTCTGGCCGCTCCACTGGCTGCTCCTCTGGGTGCTCCTCTGGGTGCTCCCATCGGCTTTGCCGCGCCCGCTCGCTTTGGGCTGCCAGCTGCGTTTCCCTTCGCCGCACCCAGATTCCCAGCACCCGCTCCCTACTTCATCTAGATAGAGTGCCACCCCATCCTAGCTTAGATTTAGCCACCCACACACACCCCTAGACCAAAACACACACAGCAGTAAGCACAATGCTTGGCGAATAAATATTTGTATATCAATTTATTTCAACTGCCTTAAGCCAAGTCCTAGAGCCGCACGTTCTTCACGTGCCCGATGCGCTGGAAGAGCGGCACATGCTCGAAGGGCGTGTGGGAGACGGGCACCGAGTCGTAGGTGACGTGTGCGATCTTTGTGAGTGGTGCGACAATGGTGTAGCCCGGATGCTGCTGCGGCACCCCAGTGGCCGGTTGGTGATAAATCACGGCCGTGGGCTGATGATAGACGAGTGTGGCAGCTCGGGCTTCCTGCAGCGCCAGCAGCAGGAGAATCGTGTAGGTGAATGCGCAGCCACGCATTCTGAGAGCTCTGGGCGATGTGTTCCACTTTCTGACTGCAGTGCGACTAAGCGCTGGCCGCTGACTCAACCGCTAACTGCTTGGGGCCTGCCTCCATGTACAGTTAGAGATTCAGCTGGTGGCTTCTTCAGAACAGGTTCTGGCTGCATCTCGGCTCGGATGGGCAACCAGTTGCAACACTCATAGTTCCAGCCACTGACAGTCTCCGATATAAACTCCACTCACACGCATTCCGAAAACTCGTTTTCAAGTTCAAGTTTAAACACGTCGCGGATCGCTTGCTCGGGCTGTTGTGGTTTATCCAAGTGTCAGTGACTCTTTTGTGGAGCTTATGAATGTAATTTTAGTTTTGTGTGTTTTATCTTCATTTCTTTAATGTTATGGTATACCCTAAACATTCAGAAACTAGCCTAAGAGCGGGTATCACAGTCGTAAAGCAGCATTATCGAACCTATAAAGCTAGACACTGTTTATAGAGTTGCAGAAGTTGCCACAGAAAGCAGTAAAAGTGTTTGTTTAACTAAATCTCATAAACCACGGACAAGTGTGGCACAGAAGCGAAAATTTTAGTGAAGAATTTAAGAGAAATTACTAAAAAAGCTGACGACTGATCTATTTGGAATCACTGATATAGCTAGATGTCTAGCTATAGCAAGAAATTCCCTGGATTGAGTGGAAGTGCCATAGGTCGTAAATATAATTAAATTTAATATATGTAAACTTCTGTATATTCTCGACTAACATGAATAATCTACTTACATAAGCAGATCTTTTTATGCCCTGCATAAATTGAGAACTGGAATTCAGGGTAGAATGATTCTCTGAAGTGAAATATGAGAGGCACAAGAAGTAGTGGAAAGCCCCATGTATATATATTTACATACTTTCTGCATTTGATTCTCAAATCAAGTTTGCAAATCTCAGCTTCATTTACAGCGCATCTCTTAGTCGTTAAACCAAAGCCTCGTCGTCTTCAGTTTTAGTTGGTGGCATTTAGTAAATGGCTTTTTAGTTAGCCATTGTCTTGTTTGGGGTTTATTGTCTTAAATGTGTTGCTGGTTGCCCAATCTGTTTGCGATCGACACTTCGGGCATCGGAGAATTGATTACAGATCTCTTTGTTGATCTGCTCTTTATACATAAATTATTGCGTCACACGGGCGGCACACAAACATTTGTATATTGAGAGCTCATTGACCTTATTTCGCAGTGGGTTTTCGTATTTGTTTTGGCCTTACTTAAGCTGCGATCAAACGATTCTTGCCACAAAGTGGCAGCAGGAAACCGTTGCACGAAAGGCAGTTGCAGCCACGCCCAAAACTTTGTCGCCTGCTGGCATGTTGCAAATTAAACACTTACCCAATGCATGCCGGACCACATTGCGTATGAGCAAAGCGCGAAACGAGTGAAATGTCTGTGACCAAAATAAAAAAGAAGAAAAAAAAAAAAAACAGAAACTGAACTAAAATAAAGGCACGCAAACTGACAAAGTAGATTAACTGAAGCAGCCGGCCAATGGTGGCCAAATGCAGCGCCCATTAGATCATCGACGGCCCAATTTTGGTGGCAGCCGAGTGCAGCCGCCGGTTCCTGCAACATATAAAAGAGCCACGCAGCGAGCAGCTGCAGCAGCACAAGCGGCACACAGCTTTTGGAGTAAATCACGTGGCACTTAACTAGTTCATAGCAAAATGCACAAAGGAGTAAGTGGAAGCATTAAGTAGAGTCCTAGCCAAATACTAATCTGCATCCTAATCCTCGCCAGCTTTTACTGCTGGCAGCGCTGTGCATGAGCGGCTGCCTGGCTGCCCCAGCGCCAGAGCCAGCTCCGGCACCAGCACCGGCTCCGGCGCCAGCTCCTGCTCCTGCGCCCAGTCTTGGCCACGACTACTTGGGCTATGGCGGCTTGGGGCTGGGTCTGGGCCTGGGTCTCGGCGGTCACTATGGTGGCTTGGGCTTGGGACTGGGCCTGGGCTACCATGCACCCATCGTCAAGACCATTGCAGCGCCCATCGTCACGAAGACCATCATCGGCAAGAGCTATCTGGGCGGCTATGGCTACGGCCTGGGCCCCGGCTATCTGGGCGGCTACGGTCACGGACTCTACGGACATGGACTGGGTCTGGGCTTGGGCCTGGGTCTGGGCTATGGCCATGGCTACGGCTGGTGAGCACAGGCAGAGCGCGTGAGAGACTTCAAATTCAAATTCTTAACAGTTGTAATCCAATCGGAGTCCAATAAAGCTCAGAGTCAATCTTGATCAATACGAAATGTGTGTTTAATTCAAAACTCAAATTCACTTGCTGTCAGAAATTTTGTGTGCATACGAAATGAAAAGCAATAGGGATCCTCGATCTCCAGGTGGCAATCTCTACCAGCCATGGCCCAGGCTCAGGGCAGGAGAAGCATACGATCTGTAGCCAAGTCCGAGGGGCGAGGCCAGGCCGAGTGGCGAAGCCAGGCCGAGTGGTGCGGCAGACAGGCCAATTGGTCCATGGGCCAGAGCTGGCGAAGCATAGCTAATCCTGGGAGCCAAGCCATAGGAAGACAGCACGGGAGCACGAGCCAGAGCAGGCGCAGCAAGGCTAATCCTGGGGCCCAGTCCATACGAGGTGATCGACGGTGCGGCCAGGGCATGGCCATAGGAGATGGCCGGGGCAGCGGCCAACGACAGAGCCGGAGCTGCAGCCAAGCCACCCAAGTAGCCAGGAGCAGCAGCAGCGCTGGCCAAGCAGCAGCAGAAGGCGACCAGGATCTGGAAGATGGGCCAGAGCAGACTTAGACTCGACTGAGGCTTGGCTGGGGCCAATGTGAGGACTTACATATTTGAACATGTTGCAAATGGAGTTTTAGACGAGGCGAGAACACGACGCTTAATAATGCCTGCTAACTGGGCTCAAATGCTTTTATAGCCGAATTCGCGTCGGGCCCAAAAACCAAATTCAAATCTTTATAACGAGAACTGAACTTTTACTTTTGTTGGAGGCTGCGAGACTTCGTGTGCGCATGCAAAGTGCAGCTCGTGGTTGCAGCACGACGACGACGACGACGACGACGAGGGCGGTGCAGGTGGTGCAAGAGGTGCAGGTGGTAAAGGCGGCGGCGGTTAGAGACCCGCCCTGGCCAATGCGGATGTTTGGCATAGCCAACTTAGTCGCAATATTGATATATATAAATATATGTAACATACATATATATATATATATATATATATATATGTATATATTATCAAGAAATCTGTGAGAACGAGTTTCCGAATAAAAACATTTAAGAACTGGTCGCCGGTGCGTGTTGCGCTTGATATTTTCCGATATTTATCATTTCCAGCGAATGGTTGGAGCCATGTGTAAATTGGTCATTTAGCAGGATCTTAAAGATTAAGTCTTAATTACAGTATTTGGTTAAAGTCAAATTGATCGGCTACAGTCAGAGTCAGCGAACGACCGAGCCACCGAGCCACAGCCCAAGTCTAATAACAAATTAATTGAATGTCGATAATAGCGCTGAGTGAATTCTAGAACAATTACTGCATACACTTAAGATTGAAGATTGGCAAATTGACAATTCGAAAAGTTAAGAAACATATTTGCATACAAATGAAAATTAATTCGGAAAGGGATTTTAGGGGAGAAATTAAAAGTGTTTAAGCAGAAATGAAATGCGATTACAGCTAAGAGAAGAATGTTATGTAATATAAACAATATAATAAATATACAACTTTTATTTTCATTAACTCTTTCATTTCATTTCTTCTCATTTCAAATCATATCCCCAACTTCTAGCACATTTTCTACTTTCAGCTCTACCCCATTTCGCTCAGTGTAAGGTTGTCATAATGCGCGTTGTTTGGCTGATTGCTTGAGCCGGACTTCTAGATCAACTTTATCTAGGCCAAAAGTCGATAACTGATGTTTGCTGCAAGCCTATCGGCGGCTGCGCCCGTCAGGGGCGTTGCAAGGTCGTTCTAGGGGGGCTTCCACTAAGAGCCCCCGCCAGCTATGTCGCTGTGCACAGTGCACGGTGAAACTTTAAATGCAATCATAAATTCATAGCTATCAACTGCGAGCACAATGCAAATTGTTGTTGTAATCATTCTAATTGTTATTGTTGCTGCTGCTGTTGCTGCTGCTGCAGCTGACAGCTAATTGCAGCGCACTTCGCCGCCCCACACGCATAAATCAGTTCAAACTTTACGTAAAACTTAAAAGGCCAACTTGTTAAAGTGCCTCAGCCGGAGTCTTAGCCTGTGACTATGGCTATGCCTGTGTGCCCGTTGGCTACCTGTGCACCACCTGCACCACCGTTTGGCCACTCGCCGCAACGCCCTGCGGTGCAATGCGAAATTGACTGCGTAAATCTCGACTCCCCTCAGCAAATGGAAAGGCGGCTGCCCGCTTGACAATGGCCAGACTCTGGGCAATTTCAGCGGGCTGTGATCACGCGTAACTTACGCCCAGGCAAAATATTTGCATACAAATGCGTTTGCCAAGTGGGCGACACATTTATAGGCAGCTCTACCCAGCCCAAGTAGCTGAGATGGGGTGTACGGAATCTGAAGAAGATATTTAGCAGAGAGAGAAAGAGAGAGAGGCGAGTACGATGTGGCATATATAGTAATCAAAGGTATTATATTAAATAAATAATTTCTTCTATAGCTCTGCCATCTGCCATGGCCCTATCTGAGGGAGCTACTTCATACAACACCGTCCTCAACTCCGTTCAACACTTACTCTAGGGTATTTCACAGTCTGTCACTCACAACTACTTCACTCGTTACTCGTTTTGTATTTTTTGGCTACTTGAGTGGAGCAGGCAATTCTAAGCAGGCACTGTAGCCGGTTTATGGACTCATACAGTGAGCGCTACAAAATTAAATTCAATTAAAATTTTGTCACTCGGGCGACGCGTCGATTAGGATCGACCTTTATTGATGTCTGCACAAATGAAGTGTGTCAGCTGACTGGGCAGTTGCCTAATTGCTGGCACAGTGTACGCCAACTGACAGTCAACACTGTAGCCACTCAAAAACCTAATGTAGTTAACAGCAGCAGGGGAAGCTGATTAAAATGGCAAACGAGTTGCCTGGGAAATACTCGATTAGTTAAACCATAAGCATTCGGCGAAGCCAATTATGAAGGCGTTGCAATAGGCGTGGTGCATCACCCGGTTCGTTAATGGCTGCCAATTTGTAGGCGTCAAAAATCATGCAAAATGCAGCAAAAGAACTTGCGAAAAACCACTCGCATTTGATTTAATTTGCAATCCGTTCGACATTTAAACATTTTAATGAAATGCATTTTTTTACTACAAAGTCAAAAGAAACAAATGGAAAAAGAGCTAGAACGTTGTCGGCACCACGCGGCGTATTATTAATGCACTTGCCACAAGGAGTGGCGAGGCCCATACAACTGATGCTTGAGATTTGAGAGTTGCGTCTATTTCCCCGTGGCGCCTTTTAATTAAACGCGCCAGCAGCAGCAGCAGAGGCGGAGGCAGAGGCAGCGGCAGCGGCAGTTAGATGCGGCTAGCTCTGCAAATGCTGGCAGCAGCTGTTGCTGCCACACGCAACAAACGGGGCACGTTTCAATTAAAAATGAGCCAAGACTGAAGCAGCTTGAGTTCTAGAAGTTGAGATACCCTGCATGAGTAAGGGCAGTGGAGTAAATGATGAGTGGGGTAGATCATATGACTTTATAACAGACTAGAAAGCATATACCTGATTTGAGATATCTATCTGTATAGGTAGATATAATTCATAATCGGTCTGTACTCATATAATATATATCTATACATATTTAAAATATATATGACTAGATAGATATATAGTTATAAATAAATATATTAGTATTAATAGATTTCACAATACTTATGAACAGTCGAGTATACCCTGTATGCACATGCTCAAATAGTACAGGATATAACCAGCATAGAGTTAAAGAAACTGTGTATAGTCGGTAACTTAAATACCCTGGATCAGATATTTAAAAATTTATTATATTATTAGATGCTATAAGCTAACATCATCCATATACATTTTTATTAATATCAAAAACGAAAATTTCAAAATTAAATCGATTTCTTTAAGACTTTACTCTCTCAAGTAATCACATCTTAAATACAACGGCAAGTCGTTCCCTTAACTACCTAGATTACTCCACTGCACTTTTACAGGGTATACCTAAGAATCGAAGCTGACAGCTCGCAGATAGTAAACAGTGAAAAGGGCGCGGCACAGCAGTGCCCGAGGATTATGCAATACTTCAAAGTCAACATCGATGCCAATGAACTCTGGGCTCCAGCACTCGGCTAGGGTTCGAGGATTTTAGGGTTCCAGAACGTTGTTTACATGGCTTTGTGGCACGTGTGGCATGCAATAATAATTGCTGTTTAAGCTGCTCATAATAATGACAAATAGCCCCATCACGGCGCATAGCAACGGCCTAGCAATGTCTGCTCTACCTGCACTGAATAATTGAAATATTACCAAACCAGGGCCAAATGCTCATTTTGGCTGGCCGTAAAGCCAAAGCCAAAGCACGCATTCAAACAAGGCCAACAAATCCTAACCAAATACAAAGCACTTGCTAAACTACACGATAATCCACATTCCTAACTCAAGAGCTTAGTCACTTCCGCCTCGCAGCCGGCTCGAATCGTAGCTCAGGTTGTCGTCAGCGGCAGCTGCCTTCTGTGGATGCGATTATCATAATTTAGCGCTTACCAATCCTCTGATCAGCCACAAACTGCTGCTGACTACGGACGCTTTACGTGCCCGTCATTTTAACGTAACCCAGTTGCAAGTACATATATTCCATTAGCTGCTGCGAGCAGCGAGCAGCGAGCAGCGGACTGCGCATTTTAATTGTAATTCAAATTAAAAATAGAAAACTGCTCAGTAGAGGGTTGGCCAACAGCTGTGCGCCCAAGGTGAAAGAAAATAGACACCAGCGAGTGTCCTTGCGGGGGTCAAGCGGATCTGACAGATGCTGGGGATTAGAAAGGAAAAGACCATTCAAGTGAATGAACACAAGAAATACTTCTACTGATGTAGCTGATGCAGCTTAAAATATCGAAAATCTCTGAAATATATTCCATGTTAAGCTAAGATGTAACCTAGAGAGGGTAAGTAGCCTAGAAGATAGAATATTCAGATAGCAAGGAAAACTTCCAATGGAATGGAAAACATCCAAAGGAAAGGCAGACTTGGAGAAATTCATACTTAATAGAGGAAATGTGAAGAGGCAACACTTTTTAAAGGATCGAGTATTTCATTGAGAAAAAAACATCACAAAGAAAAAATACATATAAAGACGAGGGAAAACTTCCTACAAGAACAAAAAATAGCAAAAGCCGAAATTGATTCTTCTTTCTGATATGAAGACTTTCCAGCAGAACCCGATCAGTCGCTGAGGGAAAAAAAAAACAAAATAAAATATTAAAATACAACTCATAAAATTAAAGAAGCACAATTGGTTGTTACGTTTTACGCAAAATGCATTTAATCCAACAATAATATTTCCACTCTAACCATCATTAAATAATACTATAAACTCAAAAGACGGGAAACCAAAAAGGTGAAACAAAAACCGAGTAAAAGGGGAGTCTAAGGATTGCTCGAGGAAATATAAATTGCGTGAGCCGAGGATCCAGATCAAATTGTCAAGTCGTCATCCATGCTTAACGGTAGTAGGCGGCATAAGGATATGCGGAGTAGGCAGCAGCATAGGGGTAGGCGGCATAGGGATAGGCAGCGGCAGCGGTGTAGGCGGCGGTGTAGGGCGCGGTATAGGCGACTGGTGCGGCAGCGGTGTAGGCGCTGTAGGCCAGTGGTGCAGCAACAATAGCGGGCTTGGCGGCGACGCAAGCGACGACGGCGAACAGGCACAGAGCGAACTATACAAAGGATTTACTTATAGAGGATGTTTTTCATCGTCGTGTATTTAAAACTTACGAATTTGAACATTTTGATTGGGTTGTAACGAGCTGCTTGTTCTGAAGAACTTGACTGATGCCTACTGCAGCATTTGCACGAACTTATATACCCGAAATGCACAAAAGACTCGAGGTTCCAAATACAAAATGAAAAAACAAAACATGAAAAATATGCGAAACTAATCGAATTTTTAATTATTATGCACGGCGAGGCATTCGGATGCTCTTGCCTGCCAATTGAGCAGTCAGCTTGTCGTATCAATTCACGCCAAGGAGAATCTCGGCGACCAAATTTGCACTTTACTTTTAGTTTCATTAGCGTATGGGCTATGGGCTATCGGCTATATGCTAGGGGCAGCGGGCGTGGGGGAGAGTGCGAGGGGGGCGGGGTCGCTGTCCAGCCAGACGCAATAATTATTTATAAACGTGACGCAAAAAATAAAAATATAAAAACGATCAGCAAATCGAACTGAAACGTTGACTGACACGTGATTCGCATGCAAAGCATGTGCTTGGGTTTGTGACCCACTCGCACCTCCATCGCATCGAACATCCATAATTGAATTTATAAAGCCAAGCGACTGCCCCACATGCCGTTTCATTTGATCAGAGGAAAGCGCTCAGAACACAATCATGTATAAGAAACTACTAAGCTTCAAACGCAACGCGGATAAAACGCATATTGTCAACGCATCGGAGGAGTCTAACAGCCAACGAGCAGTTGTAGCTCCAGCCGAATCGAGCAGCTGCACCACTTGCTGCACCGCTTGCTGTTGCTGCTGCTGCAACTGCTGTGAATCGCGGGAGGATCGCTCTAGCCTCTGTCAGCTCTGCACCGCTTCACTCATGCTGCCCAGCTGTGTGGGCGCCATACGCGCGCTGCAATGCAACATTCTGCAGCAAGCTGCAGCAGCAACGACTCAGAGACAACACCGGCAACAACCAGTCAAACATAGCTGCTGCCAAACAGGCAGCCACTGGCTTCCAGCCTCGGAATCCTTAGCCAGACACAGACTGCAAGTCGTTGCCAAAACACGTTGTTGTTGTTAATAGAAATATTTGTAAGCATAGTTAAATTTAATCTAAATATTATTTATAAAAAAAATCACAAAGAAACATAAATATATGAATGTATATAAAGAAACAACAAACAACAACACAAAGATGATGTATTAGAGTGATATGCAAAGTCTGCATCGCTGTTGCTCGTCTCTTTCTGTTTACAGTTCCCAAATTATATTCAATTTTGTCGTGATTGGCTGCAGTATCCGGCTTGTAGTAGTATTAGTAAAATTAATATCCATTTGAGTTTGCGTTCTAGTTGCACGCCTGCCATTTATGAGAGAGAGAGAGAGAGAGCGACAAATAGAGATGTCACTGAACGTCAGCTCTGGCGTTGCTGAGTGAGAGCGAGATAGCTACTTTGGTCCTTCGAACATGGTGGAAGAAGACAAGCAGACGTAAAATGGCGAGCCTTAAGGTGAAGATATAAAAGACAGCACAACGAGGAAACATTTTAAATATATTCAATTAGAGCGGAAAACGATCAAACAAAAAATCAAATATATCGATATATTTTATTTCATTTGCTATAAAATTCATACATTTTATGTAGCACATTCCAGAATTTCGCTGCGTGGCTCATACCCGGAACTTTGATGATTATTGCCTTCTATGTATCATGCTGTTCTTCTATAGTATTGGCTTCTTATTGCCTATCTGTCTGCCTAAGCAGCTAACAGAGCAGAGCTTCCAATAGCAACTGGAACAACATTTAAAAACATCGAACAAAATTATTTCCTAGTATCATTAAAAATAGATCTAAGACTTAAATATTTGTATTCACATATTTCACATTAATATTTTGTTCGCTTCACGCAGTGAATTCATATTTCTAGCTCCAACATTTCGACTTCCTTGAACAAAAATAAATTCAAATACCCAAATATTCCGTTTAGCAATTGTTTTTTTTTATTTTGTATTCCAATAAAAAGGTGAGTCAACACGGTGAATGCATCATTTACAGGTATGTGGTGTAGGCAGCGGTGTAGGGATAGCTGTAGGGATAAGCAAGGGGCGTGGTATAGGCGGCGCTGGCAACGGGAGCAGCAGCAATCGGGGCGGTGTAGGCGGCGGCAACGGGAGCGGCGGCGGCGGCAACAATGGGCGCGGCAGCGATGCCATTGAAATTGCGTGCCACATACTGCGAGCTGGTGGCAGTGACAACAGCAGGAGCCGCATCCACAAGCACCGCAGGCTTCGCCTCAGCCAGGCTGCAGGCGAGCACAGCGCAGAACACGAAAAGGGCAGCAGACTGCAAAGGAAACCCAATTAGAATTTAGCGAAAACAGACTTCAATCAAAAAACGCACCAGTTTGAACATGTTGAAATGTTTGGTTAGAGCTATCAAAGTAGACTATGCCAGAGAGTACTACGATTGCAGTTTTATAGCCGCCGCAATATGCGATGTGGATGTGGATGTGGATGGATTCTACACGAAATATAATTAGAAGCAATACAAATTATAAAAGACGAGCCGAGCGCCTGGCTACGTGCCCAGCCAAAAGCAGCTGGAAAGGTCTTTTGCTTTGGGTATGTCGAGCACGTCGCCAAAATGTGGGACCATAAAAAGTTTTGAAGGCAGCCACCAAAAAAAAAAAAAAAAAAGAAAAAGCGAACAAGCGTTAAACATCTATATATTATATGGATATATACGAAACAGTAGCTGTTCCGATTCAAATTTATGCGTTCAGTTAACTGACCTGCCCTTGTGAGCACGAACCGACCGAAGAGCATTTGGCTGACTTTGTGACTTGTGCCCTGGGGCATGTGGCATGCAGTGAATCGGATTGCGTATGTTCACTCGATTCAAGGTCAAGCGCTGACTCTGCAATTTAGTTATGCAATCAGTCAATACACTTTTAATCCGTGTTGCAGCATTGCCGACTGCACCCATCGTGGCATCCACACAATGGCCATGCCACATGGGCCTACGATATCTTTGCATATAATATTTTACAAAACTTTTCGTAATCGCAAACAAATACAGCAAAAAGAATAAAAGCAAAGCCCAGGCCGACATTTCTTATCACTTGCAAGCTCGGAGAAGTGACTCGAATATCCATGCTCCAGATTGAGCAGGCGCGACAACAACATACCCTGTACATTAAGCTACGATATGCAGAAATATTATATATTCAGTAATTAGGGAAGCATTTCGAATAGAGTAAATCTGGCTAAGCTTACTCTGGGAAAAGTTCTTAAGTCAGATAACTTGAGCTGGAATTTTTGTATGTTTATCTTTCATATAAAGAAGAAACTATTCGAGCAAAGTCTTCCATTTGTTAGCAGAGCATTAAAAACAACGATAGTCTCCATATATACAAACATGATATTTAAGTATATAATATATACATATATCAATCGGCTCTTTTTTTCATCGTGCCACAAATTCCGTTGCACTTCTGTAAAAAACTTGCAGTCCGAAGCTTCTCTTGCAGTTTGCGGAAAGTCTTCGCTGCGCGCGGTTCACAATGCGTATACGCACTGCTGGTCTATTCCTTCTGTTTGTCCTGGCCAACAGCGATCCTGGCCTATCGGGCGATGTCTACTTGAGCTGCGATGAGTTCGAGCAGCACATGTATATGGATGCCAGCGATGCCTTCTGCACAGTCACGGGCTTCGTTGTGACCCACAGTCAAAATATCGTAGTCAAGAACTTTCTGAACGGCAACATGGTGAAGTTCATGAAGTTCTACGACTCGACGCTGCTGTCGGTGCCCTTCCGTCTGTTCGAGACGTTTGCCCACTTGAAGACGCTGGACGTGTCCTATACGAGCATCCTGGAGCTGACGCGCAACACTTTCAGCGCTGCGAGCAATTTGTCGTATTTGAATCTGAGCTACAACAATTTGACTTCCGTGCAGACGTCCGTGTTTATCGGGGCCAATGCTCTGATGCGCCTGGACTTATCGTACAACCGCATTTCGCAGCTGAGCGAGAATGCGTTTTGCGGGCTGCACAACCTCAATAAGCTGCAGCTGACGGGCAACCGATTGACCGATCTGCACAAGGACATCTTCAAGGACAACGAGTACTTGGAGTCGGTCTCGTTTGAGAGCAATCTGCTAACCTTCATCCAGCCGGAGGTCTTCAATCGCATGCGCCGCATCAAGGAGGTGAATCTATCGAACAACAAGCTCATACGCATTCATCCCGATACGTTCACGGAGGCTGCCAGCCTGGAGAGCCTCCTGCTGGCTATCAACTCACTGGACGCCTTTCAGCTGACCAACAAGAATATTGTCCATCAGCTTCATTTGGATTACAACCACCTGACCAACCTCACGATCAACGCCACTCGATTCGTGCGCGCTAACTACAACAACATCAGCTCGATTCACATGCACCAGGCGCTGCAGCTGGAGACACTGGAGCTGCGAGGCAATCGACTGGCGAGCATGGCGAATATAACAAATCTGACTGCTCTGCTTCATCTGGATCTCTCCTACAATCCCATCGGATCCCTGACTGTCAGCACCTTTGATCAGCTGAAGCGGCTCAGGAATCTCTATCTGCGTGCCACTGGCGTGCGTGAGCTGCAGTTTGGCATGTTCTCCAAGCAGAAGTTCTTGGAGATACTCGATCTGTCGTTCAACAACTTGACCAACCTCAATCTGGATCTATTTGTGCCCTATCTAACGAACCTCAAGCAGTTCTTCGTCGATGGCAATTTGCTGACCGAGGTGCAGGGCAATCGCAGCTTCGCCCAGGCCTTTCCCTTGCTGCAGAAACTGGGCATCTCGAGGAATCGCTTCAATTGCTCCTATCTGCACCACCTGCTGATACCGCCCTACCTCACAGAGACCGTGACCCTGCACATCGAGCCGGATAACAGCACTGACGAGACGCCTCACATACGCGATGTCTCCTGCATTAGTCCATCCAAGCAGGGCGCCATCCAGGAGGAGCCCACACAGTCATTGCACAATCAACTGGAGCTGCTGCGCGCCCACTCACGCAATCTCGAGCTCCACTTGCACTTCATGAAGTTCTTCCTGTGTGTGCTGGGCGCAGTGATCCTCATATCCTTGGTGGCTCTGATACTGTTGCGCTGGCGCAAGTTTCAACGTTCAGGTCGCTACAATCGCAGCAGCATTGTCTTCCATTCGAATGGCACAATGGAAGGCTAGTATCTCGATAGCATATAGCCAAAATCAGAAATAAGCTTAAGGAAACGCAGTTATAAATATAAATATAAATACATATATTTCTTATATTTGATAAGACAACCAGGAAACCTTTTAGAGCAAACAGCCAAATGAAGGGGCAGATAAAAGACCTCGACTCAAACTTCCTGCTGGCAGTTGAGATAAGTGCCAGGCAAAGACCTTGAACAGAGCCCCGACTACTGTCTATATACGTACACATATATATGGTGTTATATATATACAAGATAAAATGAGTAAAAACAATTTGATTCCGAGGTTCAGTTTTGTTTATTCATATTCAATTTTTGCAGATGTGTTTTGCCGGGTCGTCTTTATCTGCCTACTTCCTGAGGTACAGAGGAGCGGTGTAGGCAGCAGCGTAGGGCGATGCAAGATACGGGGATGCCACATAGGGGGAAGCCACGTACGACGATGCCACATATGGAGATGCCACATAGGGAGATGCCACGTACGACGATGCCACATAGGGCGCGGAGTAAGCCAGTGGAGCCACAATTCCTGGCTTGGCTGCAGCGCAGGCAATCAGAGCGAAGACGGCGAGGATGATTGACTTGAACATCTTGAGTTGTTTAGTTTGTCGGTTGAACGGAACTGATGATGATAGCTGCTTGAGCCAGGGCTTTTATACACCAGCCAGCTAATAGGTAGAGCCTTGGCGCAGACATCGTGCTGGCCCAGCTAATGAGCCAAGCGGGGCTAAACCTACAAATTATTTAAGTCACTTATGCATATAAGTGCCAATTGGACTGGCTACGTGCAATGCCTGAGCAATTGGGCAAGAGAATACACCATGCACATTGGCCAAGGTCTTTACGAAATGGTTGAGTCCAATTTGCGTATATAAGCCATGGCTCGACACTGGTTTGAGCATCAGTTACATTTGTTTTATCAACAACCGTAAACCAACCAACCAACAAACTAAAAATGTTCAAGTTCATCGCTGCTGTGATCCTCGCTCTGGTCGCCTTCGCTGCTGCTAAGCCAGGAATTGTGGCTCCTCTGGCTTACTCCGCACCTTATGTGGCATCTCCGTATGTGGCATCATCGTACGTGGCATCCCCCTATGTGGCATCTTCCTATGTGGCATCTCCATATGTGGCCTCGCCGTATGTTGCCTCTTCCTATGTGGCTTCGCCCTACGCTGCGGCCTACACAGCCCCTCTGCTGTTGAAGAAGTAGACGACTCACTCACGGGATATGAAAAATTGATCATATTTTACGGCAGAAATAAAATGTTGGAAACATAACTTAAATATTTGCATTTTTATTTAACAGCAGCCTAAAAGTTAGCTACACTAATATGATGAAGCTTAACCCTTGGCAAATACAAGTATAAGCACAATAATGAATAGCGGACGTTAGCGGTATCACATATGTATTACTGAAAACGATTATTCGAGAACTAACCAGAGACTCAGCCATCACTTAGTCATTCTCCATTTTATTTAAAGACGCCATGAACGCCTTACGTAATGAGTCAATGCGATAAAGTAATTGAAACGTTTATCTCTTTCTTTCATACGTTACCCTTAGTCCAGGCGATTAGGATTCGTTTTTGTTTCTTCACGCCACCATTTGTCCTCTACACACGATGAGCTACGTTCGGCTTGAGAAAGAAGAAAACAAATAGTCCTATTATCTTCCCTTTCATTTACACATACGTGCATGTGATCTCTCACAGTCTAGACGATCAAGAGAGAGAACGAAAAATGTACCGTTGGACTCGCAGTATTGCTGCGCCTGTTATGCTAGTTATTTGAATGATTAGCGCATGCTTCTCTCCTTTTTTGGCAAAACGGAGAACGTTGTTGTTGCTTTGCAAATTTTTTACGATTGCCAATGGGAAGTCTGCATGGCTTGGTTTGGCTCTTGCATACGCATTTATTTATTTTTTTTAAGAGCAACAATTCTTTTATTGAAGTACTCTCTCCGAGATTTTATTACTGTAAATATAATATATAATACTTTAAGCTGGTTTCCCAATAGCAAAGGAGTTGGTGTTCATGAAATTAAATGTAAACGCCAGATTAAGCGTAAGGTTCCCAAATCGATCCAATAGCGGCTTGTAATAAAATGGAAATGGAAAGGGCGGCTTCTTTTTTTTCTTCGAGGTATTGTTTGACTGCAGCAGATGATTGAAGCTATTCATCAGTTGCTGCATTTCTAGTAATAAATCCCTGCCCTGCACAGCTCCAAGTTGCGTCTTCCTCTCTTCTGCAGGTAAGAGAGGCAGCAACTGCAGTTGACTTGCAGTGGGTTGAGCCATGCGCATCGCTGGCGTGAGCACATACAGATGTAGAGGCACGGCGTATTGCGAATGCAGCACCACAGTCACAGTCACAGTCCACAGTATCCGAAAGAACTGCGCCAAAGATGAAGCTACAGATGTGTCTCCAAAATAAAAGACGCCTACTTACTGACCAGGCCATTCCGCTGGCTGTATACTAACTACTGCAGCTGGCGGCTGGTGCCTCGACTTTTATAGCCGCAGCATGAAACCCCCAAGAGTCCCAATAAAAAAGGCATTTAGCAGACTTTCCAATCAAGCTCAAAGAATTTATTTCATTGCAGGCCTTTCGCCTTGGATGACCGCTGCTCATTTAAAGCCAGCCGTAGCCACGTCCAATGGGGCGCACAATGCTGTGTGTGGGCCAAATGGGGCGCACCACCTGCACCGTCTGCAGCGTCTGTCCCGGCCAGCCCAGATACGAGGAGCTGCCCAGAATCGGTGTGGCATGCAGCAGTCCAGGTGCCGCATAGGCAATCGCCACGCACAGCGACAGCAAGACCAACTGCCAAATGTATATGCAAATTAAAAATGAACTCAGGAACAACGCCAACTGCTACCCACCAGCTTGTACATGTTGAGGGCGTTTGGATAGTGAGCAGAACAGAACTGAAACTCGTTGCGTAGCTGTCAGAAGACTCGTTGATTAGTTGCACAGACTGCAGCATTTATATAACAAGTGGCAAGCAGCAGCAACTATGAGCGATGGCCGATGCTCTATGGACTGCATGCAATCCAACGCTCGACCTTCGTGCTTTGAGATCTTAGCCGGCTTTGTTTAGTTATTTGGTCCAGCTCACATTTCATAAGTGAATGACTTCAGTTCGCTCAACTCGTGTTACACACTACTCAACCGCCAGGCCAAAACTTGCAGTACTTTGCTCTATTCAGCTGCGGCTTCGACTACATTTTTGTGTGCCATGGACGTTGGGCGGAGAAGCGCATTAAAGATCATTGGATATGTATGCCTATATATTGGGATAAAGCTTTTTAAAGTCTAGGAAATCACAGTTGAAATTTTATAAGAAATTAACTCAATAGGCCCAAAGATGTCCCAAATTGCCATTTAATTTACGCCACACAAAAGTAAAGGAAGCTGCGCATTTGTTTTCAATCAACACCATCAACAACAACAACAACAACTGAGCAGAACTGACCAAAACAGTAAATACTTCGCAGAAATATATTGAATAATAAGTACGATGTATACATATATACAAAGGACTTTAATTGAGTAATGTGGTAGGCGTTTGTTTTCGGACCTGCCTGAGATTGAGGCCAACGCAGGGAACCGCAATCGGAAAACAAAGCGCTGCGCACTTGGTAAACTTCTCACAATTTGAGTACGATTTCAAGGACAGATATGTAAATACGCCCGCCGAGGCGGAAGCTGTAGCTGACCTTGAAATTCATCAATGCGAGAGAACACGCCCACTTACACCTTACACCTTATTTGTTGATTTTGGGCCAACGTGAAGCAAAACAAGCGAAAAAATTGTCAACATCGAAGAGCAAAATATTTACCATTTGCAGAAACCATGTCCAGAAACTGTCAGGGAAGTGAAAGGGAAATGGAAATGGACTTGAAATGGACTGTTCAGATCGAACAGAAACACTGCGAATGAGTGAGAATGACTGAGGAAGCGAGCAACTAGTTGCATGTGACTGCATTGCATTACCAAGTTATTTAAGCCAACGATCAGCGCTCCATCTGACTGGGAAGACGGAGAACATGTTCAACTCCTTATACTCTGCATGCATCAGAGAGAAGAGAAGGGTATGTAAGACTGGTTAAGGGTAAGGTATTGTATATGTAAGCTAAACTGTAAGAGTTAAGAACTTTGCGCTATCGACAATTGAGAAAATTTGACATCACATATACAGAAAATCCTCCAGTATAATATATATACAGGGCCAACTCCATTAAAAGTTTTCCACAATAGGGTATCCCACTGTATTCACTTCACCTTCGTTTAGTCCAGCTTCTCTTACGTCTACTTTGTCTCCTTTGGACTGCAGTCAATCGATCTGTGAAGCACATTTGCAATTGCAGCTCCATTCAAAGTGAGTTAAGGGCTTCTTTCAGAGCTGCCGCCTCAAATGTCTTTGACCTTGTAGTGGACTCAGAAACTGCAGCCTATAAAAGGGAGCCACGCGATCCACCCAGCATTCAGTTTGTGTACAGAACAGGACCATGAAGTTGGTAAGTTGAGCAAGCGATTAAAGTGAAGCGATTGAAGAAGCTAGGCCAAGCTAGTGAAACTATAAAGAGGATTGACTTAAGCTAAAATGAATTATTTTCATCTATTAAGAGGAAATCGAGTAAAGGGCAAAACTTAGAGCAAACGTCGTATAAACGCTTCAAGAAGCATTGAACTACTGCTGACAAGTCAACAAAACTAGCAAACGAAGCTGAGAAAATTGTGATTCAAGAAAGTGCAGAGAAAGAGACTAGCCAAGGGATATATAGAGCCTAAAGAGCAAGAATTCAATATGTGAATATATGTACAACAAATCTGAGCTGAAAAACACTCTCACATTTATTATATACATGTGTCTTTCGGTATTATTAAAGTCGCTCGTGATTGGCTTGCAACAGTATTAGTGAGAAGTTGAGAGCTTGCATAAATTTCTGTGAAAATATCCAATAATTTGTATGAGTGAGGGAGAGAAAGAGAAATGTAGCTGAGCGTAGCTCCAGGTGTTGTTGAGTGGGAGCGAGACAACTAGATGACTATATAGGCATTTCGGCATTGATCGTTTAGATTTCGGTGGCCGAAGAGAACGCGAGTAGAAGTTTGAAAAAACAAGTGGAGAAGAACCGTAATTAGAGTTTTGAGCACAAATCTAAAATTAGTACAATTATTAAATTAAAATGAAAGTTATATGTATATGTAAATGCATATTAAGTAATACAACTATTATTATATTGCAGCTCATTATCTTTGCTTGCCTGCTGGGCCTCGCACTCAGCCATGAGGTGCTCTACACGCCTGGCTATACCTACTATAGCGCACCTGGACTGGCCTATGCCTTGCCTCTGGCCTACACCCGACGCCTCATCTCGCCGGCCTTACAGTCGCAGGTGTATCACAGCGTGGAGACAGACAACTCCTATCAGCAGCAATATCGTGCTGACTACAAGCCGCTGACCTATGAATATCTCTTCTGAAAAAAGGGGGAAATAATTAAGCGTGAAATTTGAATAAAGTGTATCAGCCCGAATATTCTCCATTTTTCGTGTTAAATTGTATTCACATTGTCTGAGGCGAATGCGTCAAAACAATTTCCCTACCTAGAGTGTCTGCCCTCTGGTCTATTGAACTTTCAGCTATTGGCCTCGACACAAGCGTCAACAATTCATGCCCAGGCATCAACAATCAACCAACAACCATCAGGCAACAGGCAGAGGACAGTGCACACAATAGCTTCATAGTTTTAGCAATATCATATGAACCCGTCGCACCTTCAACCCCACCTCAAAGTGACGTTTAAAATAAATCATCAGTGATCCCATAGGAAGCGTTGACCAATTGGGGGCGTGCACCACCACGTCACAGCCCATCGAGCACTACCAGCCGCAGCAACAGCAGCCGCCGCACTGCACATGGAAGCCGTACCAATTGCAGTGGAATAAATCCACCGTAGAGCTAAAACACGCTCGTCTGATTTCTGATTTTCCGTTTTTGCTTCGGAAACTTTTGCGTTTTGCTTTCAGCACGTCCAAAAACGTGACCAGCCGCTGGTCACATGGATATGTGGGTGTCTGGAGCGCAATACGCACGCAAATGCCGTACGCGAAGACCGAACCCAACCCGTACAAAATAATCGCATAAATTAATTAATGTTTGATTGCTTTTCATACACTAACCAAAGTAATCAACAGACGAAAGTGTCGCGTGACTATTGCAACCATTTTGCGACAGATTCAAAAAGATTTGGGATATTCTATATAATTAAAGACTAGCTTTATTAAGAATTATACCTTAAGAATTTGGTTAAGGTTCAGGTGAGATAAGGACATACTTATATATAAATCATTATATCTGTTATTCGTTGATATAAATTTTATTCAAATTCAAATCCATTCAAATGCGAGCAAAATTCTAATTAAGAGACATGAGAAAGGAGCTGCTTCAGCTTAAGGAGTGAGTATGAGTAAAATGTATTCAAATATTCTTGGGTTCAGGATTTCAAATCAGATACAGAAGATTTTTAACTGTTCAATGCATAGAGCAAATATACGCTCTTCCCTTGGACAACGCTTGCAATAAGTGAGAGCATCAGCAAGTCGACTTATCGAAATGTATCACAATGTTTTCTTACGCAACCACAGCCCGGTGTCCAGACATAAGCCTCATGCAAAGCAATGAGAGCTTCTTAATCTCAATTGATTCTTGTACGATATCTGTTTCAGCAGCTAAACAAGTTTTGCATATAAGAAGGCATAGAAGACGAAGTGGAGAAGAAGAACTTCCAGTGAACCGCAAATGAGCATGCAAAGCCAAAATGCAAAAGGCAAGCGCTAATGGCAGCCAGCCCAGCAGTCCAAGGCTAGATAGGCTCACAGATAGACAACTCTCAGCAATCTCTCTGCAATCGCATAATTTGCACAGAACGCAACGCAAAGAAACTGCGCAATTATGCATGGATATGCAATTCCCTGGATTCATTGGCAGCATTGCTGACATCTGGGGCCAAGAACTATTTCCTAGTAACAGACGAATTGGATTTCTGGCCCCCAAGGCAAAAGGCGATGAGCCTGACCACCTGCCTAAGTAGCCAGCATCTGAGAGCCATTAGCGCCTTGGCTTCGGCGTAGTGTTTAATGTCGTCCTTGGAAAATTCTCGCAACAGTTGCGAGTCGAGTTGCTATCTCTAGAAATCCAAACAATGCTGAGCTGCACACGAAATCTCAATCGCAGGCAGGTGCCAACAGGTGAGCCAATCTGCAGCTACGTGACATTGTCTTGTGTATATACATACATATGTTTCTAAAGCGGCGAGCGACCTTGACAGCGTACACTAAGGATATCTCAGCGACAGTTGGCAATGCAATGAAACGGGCACTGAGGACAAAGTGTGGACTTAGGTAAGCGGCACGCACTGAAATTTAGTCAAGTGGCAAGCTGATTACATCGAATGCGCCCTATTTATAGGTGCAATGGTGTTCTATTCCTATCAGAGGCAACAGCACCAGCAGCGCCAGCAGCACCAGCAGCAATTGGAGCACGAGAGCCAACAGCCATCTCAAGTGCTGCATGCATAACCGCGATGCGTGCCAGCAACGTGCGAGTCGCAACAGGAGCCAAAGTCAAGTGAAGAGAATTGCAGCCAAGCAGACACACACAGAATTAGCCATGAGAGGGCTGACTAGTGTAGCCCCTTATGTAAAGCCAAGTGTTGAGCAGCATATGAGCAAGCTGGTAAGCTAACTGATTGGACTTGATTAAGGCGAACGAAGGGTAAACTATTTAAATGAGCAGAATCATTCGAATGGATAGACAGAGGGAGTAGAAAGGGGGGACAGGTAAAGAAGGTAGGGTGTTATATGAGTACATCTAAATGATATGCTAGTGCTCAGAATATAACTGTATTTATATATATGTATATCTGCCTAAGAATCTGTGCGTTGATGTAGCTAATTAACTGCACCAAAGTAGTAGTAGAAGACTTCAATTATATTTATGTATTCATAATATGAATTCTATATATAAGTATATTTATATGATGTTAAATGTTTCATTTACGGCTATTGGAAGTTGTTACTGTTTTATTATAGATTAATTAAAGCAACGCCAAATTTTGTGTTTTTTTCGATTTATGTATAATTTTTGTTAATTATGTTAATCATACTACTTTGATCTATAACTCAACGAAAAAGTAATTTTTCAATCTATAGTTTACCATTAAAACTTTACTAATTTCAATAAATAATCTATGTTTTATTTGCCTTTGAAGTTGAAAAATAACAAAATAAAATCGAATATTAATGTTACACACTGTGTATGATAAATATATTTATATATGAATATATGTCATTTATATAGTTTATCTTTTTATATTTATACATAATTTTATATTTTTCTTATTTTCTCTTCTTTAACACTCTTTGCATTTGTTTGGTGCTTCTCCTTCATATACTATATACAAATGTTTATCTCAAAAGGGAAACGTGAAAACTTAGGTCATAAATTCAATTTCATAATCTGTTGTCGTTATTGAAACTGAATCCATTAGCGTATTTAATTGCAGCGCTAAATGGAAGAGTTATTTCATACTTAATGTTGATTAGGCAGCAGTTGAGCATAATTAATTAAAGGATTGCGTTGATTAACCCTAGTCCAAGTTAAGTAAGCAAACGAAAATTATCAAATCGGCTTACCTAATGTAAATAACTTTGATGAGGAAAAGATGAGAGAGTTAGTCAATTGCTGAGGTATATGAATGCATAATTTAATATAATAAATGACTAAGTATATATTAATGTAAAAATTTTTAAAATTTTTGTTTTTTACTTTTTTATCGACATGACTTATAATATATAATTTTAGTTCAAAATTTAAGTCGTAACTTAACTACTAAATTATATTTAAGTTGCGCAGATAACTAAAGCAGTTTAAATAGGATTTTAACTCATAATCTGTGAGATTTTATATATACAAAATTTCAGTGAAGCAGGAGGAGCTCAAAAAAGAAAATTTATTTAATGAACATTATATTCTCATATTCTTTATCAAAGTCGCAACAACGAGAAACGGTAAAATTATTACAAATCAAATTGTTAGGAATTCGGTCGAATTAGCGAAAGTTTTAGGGAACACAGCAGTTTTACGAATTATTGAGATTTTCGACCTAGCGGGAGATATACTGCGACTCGAGTAATAAATATAATAAAGCAATTTTATAAATATATATACGCTTACACTTAGCATTTGTGCTAACAATGAAGAAATTAGTCGGCTCAGATGTGAGCTCAATTATTTCGTATACTGCAAATTTAATTATATCTAGCCCTACTCTGAGACTCAACGTAATTCATTTGAAAAGAAATTCTGAGAGTTTTGCGGCTACACAAAGAAGGCCAAGCAGCTAGGCAAATTAATCTTTGTTTTTTTAGCAAACAGAAAAGGGTATTGGAGTGATTTAAATTGCTAAAAATTAGATATTTAAATATGCATTTAATATGTATTAAAGCAGACTAATCTGAGCTATCACTGAATCGACTGATAGTAGTTTCTAGATAAGTCCAATGGATGACCCAATTTGAGGAATATTTTCAGCTGCTGAGCCCACAGAGAAAGAGAGAGAGAGAGAGAGAGAAGGAGAGTTGGCATTTTTGGGACTTCCCACATGTTCCATTCAGGGCGCTGTCTGCCTAGTTGAGGGCAGGTGTGGTGATTCACGTGTAAATCGGCGGCAGAAACGTCAGTCGGAAGTTAGTAACTGTTGATTGTAAGGCAATGGCTGGAGGTGTTCGAGCCGTGGCTCGAGTATGACGCGCAAGGGTCACGTTCTCCATCACGCACTCAAAGCGCAAAAGCTCAAAAAGTGCAAAAACACTTGAGTTTGCCGCAGCAGCAGAACAATGGCACAAAAACGGGGAGGGCGAGAGCCACACGGCCAACTGGCAGCAGGCAACAGGCAGGCAGCAAGAATCACGTTGACAGCAGGAAGCAGGAAATCCAAATAGGCAACAGGTAGCACGAACCACATGTAAATATCGATGCGAGAAGAAGAAGAAGAATGGAATTGCTGCTGCTGCTCACGTTGTGGCTGCCACGGCAGCTGCTTGGTTACTGCTGGCTCGGAGCTGGGCGACAGGCAGCCAGCGCACGAAGTGTCCTCGTCCTGCGGGCTGACTGTGCGAGCGGGCGCATGGGGGGCGGTGTGCGGCGCACGAAGGTTAAACGCGAAGCTTTTCGAGCAGCAGTCGAAATTGAGTGCAGCTATAAAAGCGACAGCAGCAACGCCTGCCCCAGCAGTTGATGCCAGCAAACGTCGCGAAACGCATTCCAAGTGAAAGTGAAGAAAAACTTGAAACTCTAAAATAAATTCTGAGCCAAGAACTATCCAAGAGAACTATAAACTTTAAAACCCAAACGTGAGATGGATACGCTAACTCCCAACAATTGCTCCAAGTCGAGCTCCAAGTCAAGTTCCAATTCCAATTCCTCGATGGATCTGGGCGAGAAGCAGCTGAAGCAGCAGAAGCGCGGCTCGCGTGGCCAAAAACTATCGCGATCCCGCAGCCTGCTGCAGCTGCTCAGCAGGCACCTGGGCAGGCACTTCCAGCACCATCACCATCATCAGCAGAACGATACGGTCTACAGCAGCCAGGATGACATACGCAGCTCGTCCACGGACTCATTCAGCTTGAGCGGCTCGCGCAACGAGTGCCTGGAGGTGCTCAATGGTGGCTCCAGTCTCGATCTGGAGAACACTTCGCGCACATCCTCGGCCTCGTTCTCGCCGGGCATGGAGTTCTACGACAACAACGCGCATATCTATGTGGAGACGGTGTACCGACCCGGCAGCGCCATGGAGCAACTGCATCCCCATCACTACGACGACAGCAGCAGCAGCGGCGCCGATGACGACGAGCATGAAGATGAACATGAGCACGAGCACGAGCACGAGCATGAGCCCCAGCAGCAGCAGAAGCGTCAGCGTGAGCAGGATGAGAATGAGAACTTGAATCAGCTGAAGCCACAGCCACGCTCCGCATCATCGGCATCGACTGGCAACAAGGCTGGGCTACATTTGAGTCGCATCTCCATCTCCTCGTCCGTTAGCCGCATGCTGCAGCACTTTTCCACATCGGCAGCCACAACGGCAACGGCATCGCTGCGCTCCCTCTCCTGCAGCAGCACGCCGCTTCGACAGCGCGACGTCTCCTCGCTGATGCGGGCAAAGAAGCTGCTGACGCCGCACAACAGCCACAACAGCCACAACAGTCACAACAGCCACAGCAGCAGCTGCAGCAGCAACAGCAGCAACAACAGCCGCAACAGTAGCAACAGCAGCAGCAGCAACAGCAGCAGCAGCAGCTCAACAAAAAAATCAGCCAAAAAGGACAAGAAACAACAGAGCATACTGCGACCTCCAGTGCAGTATGTCTACATGAAGGGCATGTCCGGACTATACTCCCGCGTGCCCAGCTATGCCGCCTGCTGCCCCTACACGCTGCATCACATGTATTAGACAGAGCAGCGGCGAAAACGTCATCGCGCCGAGGACATTGCCCAGCGCAATTTCCGGGTGAAGGCCAACACTGCAACAGCAGCGACGGCAGCGACGGCAGCGACGGCAGCAACAAAAAGGTGTCGAAGTGGAGTCTGGGTGGGTAGCTAATAGGGAAAAGTAAAAAGTAAAACGTGATGTAGTGCCTAAAAAAAAAAATTGGATATGCAGCAGAGCAACATATTTTATAAATATGTCAGAGAGAACAATATCTAAAAAAAATTATACACAAAAAAAACACAGTTTCCATATATTTGAATTATTCCAAAAAATAATACATATGTGTGCAAAGCTATTCGATATTTAGAGACTTTCAGTTTACACAGTAGCTAAAATCTAGTTAATATAAATTATATAAGCATATACCCTACCTAAAACATACACACAACAACAACAACACCACACACACATATCTTCCCATGTAGTTTTTAAACTCAACTTTTCGGAGCTAGGCTCAAATGAAAAATTATGATATACACAAATAAAAGAGAAAAATCTATGAAAAACGTTTGTTATTTCCAATTATATTTTGCACTTATTTTAATGGGCACTTGACTAGACAAAATTACGAATTTATCCAAGATATTTCAAAATTGTACAAATACAAAAGAAAACAAATAATTGAATATTATTATTTATTTATTTATAATAAATTTCAAATATACTTCCATACACTTTATTCATTTCCAAACTAAACAGAAGAAAACTGAGCAAAATATAAGTAAAAACGTTTAGCACCTAAGTAAAAATACCCTATATTTTTAGATCGTATAACCGTAAGCATAAGTCTAGCTGTCAATAAATAAAATACAATCTAAAGAAAAAACTTTGAAATGTTTTATTTCTTATAAATATTTAAAATTCCTAACAGTTATTTTCTAAAAGCTTTTGGCAAAAGCTCTTGTGTGCGCTTGCGCCTTGGCTGACTGACTGGCTGGCTGCCTTGGGAACAGTTCGCTCACTGTACTCTGGGAACAGTTTTGTTTTTGGTGTCGCCTTGCGTTTGCTGATGTAGGTAAAGTCCTCAATTTTCGAGTGGCCGAAGGACTCGACCTTATAGTTTTGACATACGATATGATGTCGTCTGCCTGAGCCAAACTACATATTCAAGCTCGATGGATGACGTTAATCGGCGGCCGTTGCGGCAGTTGTTGTTGTTACAAGTGCTCGCTAAGCCGCCGCATGCATTATTAATTTGATGGCAGCGTAACATTCAAATCTCTTGAAACTCAATGTGGATTTGCAGCTACTTTGCTTACTTGAGTGAGGCTCATATACCAATGCAGCCCTATTGATATCTCAAATAGAATTTCATTATATATTTCGCTTCATAATTGCCATATGACATAAATAGACACTGCATTCATTATTACTCTTATTCGGTCATCACTGTTTCCTAATTATGCTCAGCCTTAACGCGATTGGCTGCAGTCGTTAGCCTGCAATAGTATTAGTGAGATACCGAGAGCTTGTACAGAGTTCTTGTAAATATGTTATCCAATTGAGTTTGCGTTTTAGTTGCACGCCTATCATTTATAAGAGAGTGAGAGAGAGACAACAATAGCTGTTGCTGGGCTTAGTCTGCTTTTAAGCTTTTACCGAGTGAGAGCGAGACAGCTACTTAGGTCATTCCAACATAGCCGATATGATTTCGAATAGAAATGGAGAGTCTGAATGGGAGGCGATCAACTTTACTCAACTGCGACATACTATGTATGTATTCGCATGCATACATGTTTGTGCTTATTTGATTGTATTATAAGCTTCGATTCCAACAAATAGAGAACTCTGTGTATGTGCCATCATATATGTATCGGTTTGCGTATTCTATATTAAATATCTATCATTTCTGTTATTCAGCTTAGGCAGTTAATAGGCGTAACTGGTTAAATAAAAACTATATTTAACTAATCATTTTTTTTATTTAATAATATTTTATGCTGTACAATAGTGCTTATTATAATGTGCCATATATTCATTTAAATTAAATATAAATTCTACTTACCAAATGCAGGCCTTTAAAAATCATCTGCTCCTCGTCCTCTTCATCTAAAAATAAAAAGAAAAGTTCAACGCAAATTTAGTCTTTGATGCGTGGGAGCTTATCAACTATTATTCTATATTTAAATTGATAGTTAACAAATATTTGCAGTTGCAGGGATGTCAATTATATTTAGAGCTTGGCTCTGTCAAATGAACAAAGGGCTGTTAATGGGATTGACGTCAGGGGCACAAGAATTACGCCTTTTAATTAGAAGATAAACAACAGCAGAACACGACAGGAACAATTATCGCAGTCTCCCCGCACACACACACCAGACACACACACACACACACACACACACACACACACACACAAACACCAATCACACACACACACAATGCCATTAAAACAACGGATTTCATTAAATCGCCATAGACAAATATCCAGCATTCGCCCTTTCGCATCGCTCCTCGTCCATCTCAGCAATCACGCCCATCGTGTCGCCTCAGACCCAACCGCAACGAGGCGTAAAATTGGCAGTCAGTTTTATTTATAGAGCATTAAAATCAATTTTGTGCGTAATTAAATAATAAAAAAAAAAGACAACAACAACAACAACGGCTACGACAGCGGCAATGTCGCGAACGTGAGAACAATAGCTGTAATCTATTTTTGACGGCCTTAATTGCGGCTTATGAATTCTCTTGGCGACATCTGCGTGTAGCTAAAAAGCTAAAAGCCACCAACACCTGCAGCCACCCACGTACTTAGTCCGGATATATCTGTGCGGCAATTAAAAGTTTCGAAATAAACTCAAGCGGGTTTATTTTTATAGTCAGTGAAGAGGAAATGGAGACAAATCGATGCGTAAACATTTTGCAATTGCGCTGCAAAAAGCAATTAAAGTGCAGGCCACACGCGACTAAGCAAATATGGCAAGTGCCACCAGTGCCAGGAGGCAGGCAGAGCAAACAAACAACAACAACAATTGGTAAACAAATGCCACACAATTCAAATGTTGCCATTGCTGCCATTGTGTATTGGGCAACGGCAACGGCAACGGCAACAGCCAAATAATCATAATAATGCACAACGCAGTAAGGCAACAGACAGACACATAGTGAAAGAGCGAGAGGGAGAGAGACAAGGGAGAGAGAGAGAGCTGTTGTAAGAGAGCGCTCGCTAGCGGCTGTTTGCAGCCAGCGCAGTCTGCAGACCGGGCGAGTCTATAAAAGCAAGCGGCAAACGATTTGCCGACTCAAACGCGAAAGGACAACGTCTGTGTGTACACACGAAGCTCTGAGCAGAAAACAAAGAAAAAAAAGAAGCAGAAAAGAAACAAGCAAAACGCCGACAAAGTAAACACAGTGCATGTTTGTGTGTGTGAGAGACTGTGTATATGTATGCGTGTATCGGACCGGCAATAACAAAGCCATAGACAAAGAGAAAGCGGAAGTGCAGCCTGCTTAAGCTGCTTGGAGTACAGCAAAGTCGGAAGTCGGAAGTGCAGCTTCTATATAACTATTATATAGATAACCTTTAAGCTACAGCTAACTCTCGCTAACAACAACAACGCAGCTCTAGGCAAGAAACCAGAGCGCATTTCCAATGCATTTTAAACTGTGTAGACTGCAGTAGGCACTCGCTATACAGTACTACAGTAACTACTCGCTAGCCGCAAAGGCAAAGGCTGTTAGCTATAGTTACCTACAAGACTACAGTAAACTCTGCGGAAGCAGCATACATAGAGTAAGCAACCTTAGAGTACAGTAAGCACTCGCTGCAATGGGCTCGCCACACGTCTGCTTTGCGGACGAGCTGCAGCAGCAGCCGCCGCACAACAACAACAACAACAACAGCAATGGCAACAAACATTGGCTGGAATTGGAGCTGCAGCCGCCGCAGCACTCGCCCAGCCTCTCGCCAACGCCCCGCTACGAGCGCAACATGGGCTTCTTTCAGCTGCTCAGCCGACGCTTTGGGCTGAGGTCAAGCGTTGACCTAGTTGATGCAGCTGCACAGGAAGAGGATGCGCACAGTTCATCGACCGATTCGTATTCATCGGCTAGTCGTGGCTTAGCTGCTGCACGCTTGGACCTGATGTCCTGCGCCTCCAGCGAGACGAGCAGCACCATTGACATCGAGGAGCAGGAGCAGCAGCAGCAGCAGCAGCAGCAGCCGCAGCAGCAAGACCAACGCAAATCGTTGTCTCGCACGAGCTTCTCCCGAATGCAACGCCGGTCCACATCGTCACTGCGACGCGCCTTTGAGAGCCTCTCGCTGACATCGCGCTCGATGTCGTGCAGCGGCCCCTCGCCGCCCCCACAGCCGCACCCACACCAACAGCAGCAGCAGCAGCCGCAAATGCCACTGAAGTCCGCTCTGAAATCGGCTTCCACTATTGAGCTGCACCAGCGTCAGCACAAGCTGGCCACCAAATCGACGAGCAGCTCCAGCGCCTGCTCCAACTCATCCACATGCTCCGCGACCCAAGCGAAGCACAGCAAGGCGAAGCCGCCACCACAACGCATCCTCCGTCAGCCCGTCTCCTATACATATCTAAAGGGCATGTCCGGTCTGCCGACGCAGCGCGTGCCACGCAGCTCCGTCTGCTGCCAATATGCGCGGCGCTAACGGGATCGGCAGAGAGTTCATTATCTATCGTTATCTACTCATAGCCAATAGCAGTTGATAGTAGTTCGTATAGCTCACGTAGCTCACATAGCTCACACAATACATAGTGCCAAATGCCACGCCCATTCATTTCGAAAAACTGTGATACAATTACCTTCTCATATCCACAGCAGCTCATTTCACAAAACAAACACCAAGAAAGATCCCCAAAAGAGAGAAAAAAAAACACATTTTCCAAGACTTTAGCAAATAGAAATAGAAAATTTTCCACGCGGCTTTCGATTCCAGCAAAACCGAACAGAAGACTGTCCCAAGGGAAAGTTTTGTATTGTTCAAAGAAAATTGCTTAAATTTAATTAAAACTATAATAAAATTATATAAAATTATAATAAATTTATTGTACATTCGTGCCTTTATCCCAAATTCGAAAAAAAGAAACAAAAACTAATATTAATTTGAATTTTTAATTATAATTATTATAGATATATATATTCGTCTACTATGCGTACTCAATTAGTTGCTGTAATGGGATCAAAATTTTCTCGGTTAAATATACTATAGTCTAACTTACATATATATATATATATATATATATATGAATACTTAAGTACTTTAACTATGTTTTCATACAAGTATAAATATGTATAAACTTCATTCGGTAGTTAAGATTTTGCTCTTCAAGTTTTGAAATTCATTTTTTTCTCGCACTCTTCAGTCGTAGGGCACATAGATAAGATGAGAAATGTACTAACTAACCAAGCATTGCAATTCAAAACTGATTATATAGACAGCATATATATATATGTATACATATATATACCATATACAAAACACTTGCATAAATTTACCGTAATGTACTTATAATGAACAAACAATCTAAGAACTCAACTATATATATAACATATATGATTGAACGCAGATAACGGCATAAGCAATACAGTTATACACACATATATACAGCCGATTATAATGATATATATATACACATTTACTTAATCATAAGTTAACTATTTACCAACAACAACAACAACAACAAATAGAAGCAGCTACAAATGAATATTTCATTCACACAGCAAGTTCAATAAAAAGCGAGAAAATAATTTACAAAAAAAAAAAAAAAAATTGTTTTATCTTCTTTTTTGTCACATAACAATTGATATTTATTGGGAAACTTTGGCTATTTGAAAACGCTCATCGGAGAGTGACCCACTTGGCGAAGCTCGAGAAGTTGCCAAAAATAACAATTACAATGAATCAAGGCTAATTACGGCAACAGAAGCCCTTCTGCACATTGCGTATACGTCGCGTATGGCGGGCCTGATTACATTTATGCGCTGCTGCTCGCCGCCTGCTGCCTGCTGCCTACTCAGCCGGCATACGGAAAACTAGGTCAGCGATTGGTAGGGCAACATCATCAATATTTTCACACCCACCCACACATACGTATATACACATATATGAGTGTATATGGAAAGTACTTATTAATCTGATGGATATCGTTGCCAGGCAAAGGCCGTAAAATGTTTATGGAAATTTATGGGTGCGAAACGCGTGTCCCTTCTTCGAATTTACAACAAGTCAAGCCTGACATCGAGGCAGACACAGTCTGGCCAGGCCCGGGCCTGAGCCGGAGCATGAGCCTGCCATTTGATTAACATTATTCCAACTGAATTGGCAAACGAACTGGCATGGAAATAATTACCTAATAAATATGACAAATACGTCAAGACTTTAGAAAACGTTCTACACAGAGCCTCAAAAATTTCCATTGCATTTCAGTTCATTATTGTGTTTTAGGAAATACGATCTATGTTAGCCGAATCGAATAGAAATTGATGACAAATCGGACTCAATTGATATAGAAGTTTTATGGCTCAGTAAAACTGTTAAGATGATGGGCCTAGTCGTTATAGTTTAATGCCCCCAAATTTATCATAATGCTATAATCTCGTTATTTTTAATAGTCGGCTTAGTAATAGTGTCAAGTGCTTCGCTCGAAGTCTCTAGCGAGTGCTCTTCCATATCAAACAGCATAACGCATACGCCCCATCCGCCAGCGCTGCCCATCGTTAGTCAAGCATTCAATACTCTCTCAAGGCAACAAATTAGCGTGTCAGACAGGCAATCAAAACTGTTTCTTTTTTTTCGGACAAGTCATAAATTCTGTTCTACTGACGAAATACGTCAGAGGGCAAAGGCAAAGGCGCAGGAGATGGCGATGGTCATTGCCTTCGGCAACTCCTGCGCCCTCTGGGCGCGTCATATGTGTATTTGATAATGGAATTGCCTAAAAATACGTATTCAGTGACCTAATTTCCTGCTGATAGGCGACGACAAATGCTTAGCATTCGCAATGATATGTTTCGCTCAGCCTGCGTGATTTTTATGGCCCGCTGTTGCGCACTCCCCAACTTGGCCCAGTGAAATGGAAAATAACAATTGTGTATAAGTATGCCAGCCAGCCAGCCGCTAGCCAAAGGCGACCGCAGTCACGTAGTCCCAGCCCAAGGCTGCTCCAGCTGCTCCGGCTGCTCTGGCTGCTGTTTGTTGCCTTTTCAGTTCGGTTTGTGCGACTGTCCATATTTAATTAAGTTTGCCTTTTCTATTTTCCGTTCGGCTTTCTTTGTTTTTCCGCTCTTTGAGCTATTTTTGGCCATTCGCTATTTATATGTACCCTTGCTTGGAGCGTGTAACACTCACTTATTAATACTTGCCTAATTTTCGGGGCAGCTTTTGCATTTTTTGTGCCACATTATGCTTTCAGCTAATGGCAGAGTGGAAAAGAAGGCCCCATTCCGCAACTGAAAGGATTTTTATGATGGAAAGCGCGTTAATTTGTCCCTCGTGTCGAGCAATAGCTGGCGTGAGTTACGGCGAGCGAGCGGGCGGGCGAGACGAAGACAAAGTGTGAGCGGTATTTGGCCAGCAAAACAGCAGCATAATTAATCTTCTTTGGCTCATAACCACACCCCAAAAAAAGACACGAGCCAAAAGGCAAACAGCGTAAATAACAACAACAGCAAAAACAATTAGAGGCAGCCAGCTGCTGCTGCTTGCCGAATTAAATGATACCTTAACTAAAAGCGTCAGAGTGAGTGAATTTCCTTCCCAATCTGATATACATATCTTCTTGACAGCTGACCTCATAAAATTTTCCTTGAAAAAAAAAAACTTTGTTTTTATTCAAGCTCCTCTTTAAACTGATATTTTTTATGCGGGCTATTAAAAATTGAAACAAGCTAAGTATCAGCTAACACTTGAGGTCTGTGATAACATTGATGAAGCAGATTTCTATCAAAAATATTTGCACACTTTCCGAAGTTCAAAACACGAACTTTTAGCTTTTCCATATATACATATATATATATATTTTTTTTTGGTTTTTGTTTTTATAAAACTTTTACTGCATAACTTTGGCTTTCCTTTCCTGAAATATAAGACTAGGATTTGAGGCAGAGAAAGCGGTTTCACTTTGCAAAGCTCATTTTCTGTATTTTTGAAACTTGAAACTTGAAACTTTTCCTAGTTTTTGCAAGAGTTTTTGTGACGATCTTTGTATGCAAGAACTTATTGCAGCAGAGGAATGATGCTTCGCTGAGCTTCAAGTATATTTTACTACTTATTGTTAATATCATATGTGCATGCTTGAATACTAAATATCTATAAATATATGTATATAATTAAATATATCAAAAAACTCATTTCATGATTGCATACAAAAAAGTTACCTGCCCCGGGTGAGGATCGAACTCACGACCTTAAGATTATGAGACTTACGCGCTGCCAACTGCGCTACCGAGGCGTTGCATGGCTACTCAGATTATTATGTGAATCAACTTAAAATCAGAAGACCGATCGAGTGCTCCTTGCTTTACAAAGCTCACATCAATGTTCTATAGAATTTGTGTAAATTGTGTAAAGAATTCACTCTAGTCTCTTGTAAAATTATCAAAATCCATATCAATATAGAAGATAAGAATGCAATCATCTCTTATGTTGCATTATATGCACATATATCTATTTATATTTGTGTACACATTTTTATATAAAAAGCCAACCATTAACCGTTTGCACCTTTACATAAATTAGTTCTTGCATTAAGACAAAGCCTGGCTAATAGCATCAGGACATGCCTTCGGCCCATTGAGCCAACAGAACGTAATATTATTATCCCTTACTAACAAAATTAAACAAGGCATAAATATAAATTTTATTTTATTCATTTTAGCCGCATATGCGGATGGCATAGCGAGCCACCAAACATAAATACTCTGCTTAGGGTATTAAGAGCTTGTGTGAAATTCTTGTAGCGTTCTCTCTGATGACTTCTCGCTGAGCATAATTCCAATTTCGGCATTTGCCAGCACATGTCTTTATATGTTTTTTGCCACCACAGCGCCTCCTCCTGCTCCTCCTGCTCCTTCTGCCACGTTTCTGTGGTTCACTTTCTTTCAATATTTACCTTAAAATTGTTTACCTTTATCATCTTACGTGGCGCTGCTTCAGTGGTTTTTCTGCTTTCTGTTTTTTTCTTCTCATCTTCACGTTTTGTTCTTCTCCAGTGTGCAAGGCATACATTTTATGAGGTTTTCTCATGCTTGTTATCTTAACGGCAGTTTCCGTTGCTTTTTAATGGCACTCGGTAGTAATTTCATTTCGCAAAATATTGCTGCATACTTTAAGGAGCTGCGAGTCAAACATTTAATGAATATTTCAAATGTGGTTGCCGTTCTTGTTTGCTCTTGTTATTGTTGTTGTACCGTTTGCTATTTTTAGCATCAAATCTTCGCTTATTGCCACAAATTGAAGACACTTCACACGCCAACGCGACGACACAAAACACATAGACAGAAGTGGCTGTATATTGGCTAAACGCTGGTGTTACGTATACGCCTTGTTAGCCGGAAAAAGGCAAGACAAGCAACAACCTTCATGCTAATTCGCACTTTGACCCAAATACCAGACAATGGAGCCCCTCAAAGATGCGTGTATTCTGCCATCACACAGCCAGCTGATGAGCCTAGCATCTAAGGACGAGCCCAGCCAGGAGCTCAGTCAAGAGTGTGACACGAACTAAATAAATAATAAATTATCCCAGCTAGCAGCGAGCTGCCAGCAGCTCCACGCATCCTCTGCTGCCTTTTGCCGCAGCTCATAAAGTATGCACGATGTGTTGGTAATTGAACTCAATGCGTAAACAAAATGTCTACATTTCGGGCCACAAATATCTTCGCATTGGCGCTCAGTGCACAAAGCGCAACCTAAGCAAATATTCGCCGTAAATGGCCTAAGCTCGAGGGAAACCAAATGAGAGCTGCAAAAGCCAATGGTTTTCAATAAATCAATCGAGAGTCTTTGTGCAATTTCAGCTCTGATTGTCGGTTAACTCTGGCTCTCTCGCAATTCACTTCTTCACTTCACTTTTGTCTTTGGCTACATCAAATTGCTTTCAATCAGATAAATTTATAATGCGCTTGATGTGCCAAATTGTACATGCAGTTAATGAGCAGAAGAAGTAAAATTGAATTAAATTTTCATTTTATATATAGATGATACATGCAAATAACACTTTAACTTTTAACTTTTCTAATGGAAAAATTTGAATTCAAAGTAGTTTGTATCTTAACATAAATTTGTATAAAGCAAGTTTAGATTAATTTTTCATTGCACAGGATTTTATATATATATTTCCTTAAACTCGCTTATAACACTAATAAATTGACGGATCTATTTATGTATCTAACTATTTATCTATCTGCCGGACCGCATTCTTCACTGATGAAATCCCAGTACTCATCCATAGTTCATAGTACTCCATACGCATTTTATCATCTAGTGACACTCACATCTTTTATAACGTCCTTCACTCTCCCTATATATCAATCAATCTATCTATATCTCTACTTAACTCTTAATTTATCACTCCATCTATCATTTTGTCTATTTGACTATCCACTTTTCTTTATCTTTAATTATATATTTAGATATTGAAGATAAGATAAAATAAAAGCCAACTTGTAGAACAACTCGCTGATCTTTATTATATATGTCTATATGTCTGTCTGCCTGTCTGTAGTCGAATAGCATTCCTTGTTAAGCCTTTGCTGAGAGCATA